AGAGGGGACTCTTTTCGACCGGATTCTTTCACATCCAGCTAGTTTACGAGCTCATTTCAAACCCCAAAAGATCTAAATTCTGGTCAGACGACAGCCGGTTCGCGGCTCTGCATCTGAAACAATGCGTTACGTCTCTTTGGCTCTGCGCACGGACTGTTAATCCTCCATTCAACCAAAGCCTCAATCGCCTCGCTCAATACCGCGCTGATTACAAACGGAAACCGGAACTCTTTCCATTCCGATTGTCCCGTTTCCTGCAGATTCTCAATGCAGCGGGTGTTTATAGTGACTAATTGCCAGGCAAAAAGCAAACGTAAGGATGTAACCGCCCCCCGACAGTCAGGCATTTAACTCGTGGGGCTTTTATGTAGTTTTTCTTAATACAAATGAAACATATTTACTGGTTTTTTTTTTCCTGTCTCTGAGCCAGGTTAAACTTGGCTGCATGTAGTCCCTTCATATGCAGCAGTGCACTACTCATAACTCTTCAGCACAAAGCGCAAAACAAAACAGGAAACGTGTGATCGCTCCGCGATTCAATGAGGTTAATGTTTAACAAGTCAAATCTCCGTATAACTTTGACCCACTGATAATCAGGCTCTGGATTCTCACCGTGAGAAAAGAAGGAGATACAGGGCTTCTCTCCGGTCTCCCGCCCGCCCCTCCCGCCCAAGAAGACATGTCTCACCACTCCGATCGGATCAGAGCCGAGCTGTGCTGACCCGGCGTGGCCGGTCCAGATCTGCAATTCCTGGCGAGGATCCTTCAGGCTGCTCGGTCAGCTGTGAGAGGCTGCATTGTGCTGCCAGGTCCAGCATTGGAAACGAGCCCTGGGAGAGCCGGGACTATAAATTAGTCAGAATAAGTTAAGGGCGGGCTGCGCCGGGCAATCCCCCGTGGTTATCAGCAGACAGGAACCAGCCCGACGGGTCGGTGCTCTTGAATCTCCCGTCCTCGCTGAGGTGGCCTGATCCGGGGACGGGCTGGAGCCACCAATCAGGACCGACGCGCACAGCTAATGACTTATTCAAGTTGAAGATGAAACAGCCACCCTCGTCATCCCAATCAAGTATGCATTCTCTGGCAAATTTTTCTTTTATTAATCAGAGTTCACGGCGAGTGAGCTGGAGATGGTGATAATCTGGAAGTTTTGTAAAGGTTTGCATTAATTCCTTGATCCCCAATTGCCGCATAACCATTTACCAGCAGCTGGCATGATTTAAGGTGAACTCGAAAATGTGGCATGATCATAAACAACATAGCTGCTTTTCCCAATAACTGCCAACCGCAGAATTCCCAGCGGAGCCGCCTCTCTCGGCTTTGCTATTTTTAGCTTTACTCAAAGCAGGCGGTCGTTGCGGAGAGGAGAGAGAGCGCATCGAATGTTGATGAGGCTCATTCGGCGGCAGTTGCGGGTGGGAGGGATGTGACAAGTAGCACGGGACCAGCGTTGAGGCGACCCTGCGCGGAGCCCCGACCCGGGACGTGAATGCTAGCATAGCAGGCACAAGCACGGCTGAGAGGAAATGTTTCCATCCAAGACGAGCTTTTGTTGTTGTTTTCTCACAGCAAGATCCTGGATGGATTTAATCCGAGGAAAAAGCGGAATAATTCCCAACTGGATAACATTGTACATCGTTTCTCCCTCGGCCTACAAATGACTTTAATTGGTTTGTGAGAAAAACACTTTCTTTTCAAAGCAGTCATCAACACAAGATCGTTTTCGACTACACCAACGACCCGGCCTCTAATTGTTTTTTTTTCATCCATTATGTTTTGCCGTTTCTTTGTCTGAGTGGAAGTGGAATCTAATACATTGAGCAGATTAATTCAACTGAATAATTTAATATATTGTATGAATACGCTCATGTAAAATGGACTGTAGTTGATATATCCGTTTTGTTACATGGATTTTATGCATGCATGCATCCAACCACACACACGCGGAGTAGGAAGGAACAGGAAGCAACCCAAAAAGATTTTGCATAAAATGTGTACACAAAAGAAAATTCAGTTTAATCCTCTTTTGAATGTGCAGGATGCAAAATGCATGAATATACTTCTTTGAATTCTTCATACATTTTGCGTAACCTTACTAGCTGTCGGTTCAAAGTATAACAGAGAGACAAAGCCAAAGGCCTGTATATCTATTAAACTTTGTGATAATGTTAATATGATACTGACCCTTGAAATCCCAAACCAGGATTATGAGAGTAGCTTCACGTCCGAGAAAGCCTTCGGCCGCCTGCTGGCTTGCTGCACTTCAACTGCAATTATCGCCCAGTCAATGGCCAGAGATTTGAAATTCACTTTTAATGACACCTCGAGGCGAAGCTTCTTGGGGGGCTTTAACAGTAACATCAATAACGATCCACTCCAGTGAAACATCTTTCAACGTCCCTCAGATAACCCCCGAAAAGTGTCCTGTAGACCAATGAATTCATGAACGAAAGCGGAGGATTACATGAAGAATATACATCGAAATGATGCCACAAAGCGAGCGAGCAAATTTATTATCGGCTCCTCTGGAAACAGGAGATGGTCCGAGGGAGCTCGGAAGTCAAAGCGAGACTACATAACAAACTTAGAAACGGACCCTCCATTCCTCTTTGACTGAGAAATTCACAAATGCAAAGGAGAGGGAGGATTTGTGAGCCTGTCAGTGGCGATGTCTCTAATACACTTGTCAGTGTCACGGCATAAATGAGGAATTAGTTCAGGGCCTATTAAAGTAATTGTGTAGCCCAAACAATTATGCTTTGCAACAGATTTTAACCTTTTATGTTGAATAGTTAACTAAATATATTTTTTCCCATTATTATAATCAGTGTTAATTTAATCTTAGGGGTTTTCGTGTCAAACAAACTCCACACGCTGGCTCCAACTGAGCAGAATCTGTGACAATAGTGAAAATCCTTCCACTGAGGAAGACCATGACAGCTGGTTGAAAGCACAAAGAAATAGCTGGAAAGCCAAACAGTGAATGAATATAGACGTTTTGGTGGAAATGAAACCATAAATGCTTTGTAAGGTAACATCTCACACACGGCCCCTCTTCATCTGTTACGCTCGAACCAAGTAGAGAGGCATTTTGTTTCACCCCTCCCGCTTCACCTTTTGGGGGTAATGATGTTAGTTCAACAATCAGAACAACTATGTTCACACACGCGACATCGCTGCAGTGATTCTTTATTAATCAGCGGCAGGTGTTCCCTTCACAGCTGGTTAACTTGTGCTGATGTGAAAGGCTGTAGGGCTCCACTGTCTGCCATTAGCTGCGCATTACACCCAAATTGATCAGCACATAAAACCGTGAGAAATGCAAGTCGCTGTATTGGGTTTTTTTTTTTTAATATGTGTGTTTATCTGCGATTTACCACTTCTACTGAAACGCGAGCAGCTCCGTTTGGCTACTGAATAACGTTGGCAAGCTAACATGCTCACAACGTTTAGCAGATATGAATATATATATATATATATGTAGATCTAGATAAATTATAGGCTATTATTGGCTGATGCGATGTCATAGATTTTATTCTATAGAATAAACATACAAAAGTATTGCACCTTGTATCAATTCAGTTAAAGAACCCCAAAAAAACTCAAATGTGAAAAAGCCTGTGAAGAAATAAAGACCCTTAATGGAAGCATTTACCACATCCCAAACAAGCCTTTAAAACTCTCTAATACTCTTTAATGCGCATAACAGCGACGCGCCTTTCTGCTCCCTCCGGCTGCCAACGCTTGTTGGTTTTTCCAAAGAGTTTATTTTTTAAATGTTTAAACGCTGCAGAGGCCTGTTGGAGGATCTTAGAGTTTGGCAGGTTCTTGTTGAGTTTCCCTCTGTTTAGCTCCATCACAATGCATATGGAGGAGGTGCTTGTTGTACAGAAGTCAGGGCCACAACACTGCCGCTGCAGTTTTACATGCGTGACACCAGCGGCAAAGCCTTTCTACCACCGTTGTTTTGCTATTTGTCTTGGCACCGCGGTGATCGCTTGTCCATGAAAAGCGAAGAGACCTTTTCTTTCTCTTATTTGGCTTTCATTCCTCTCTCCCTCCCAGAAGCACGATGGCTCGGTTCGAGAAATCGGACAACGTGTGAAGCCAATTGGAAAATAGGTTTGTTTTTTTAATTTAGTGCCCATCAAGCACACAGCGGCCCAATTGCATCACCGAATCCCACAGGCAATCCGCGGCGTGGCTCTATAAAGGGATTCTGGGAGTTCTGCTGCTTATTCCCCCAAAACCTTCTATTTGCAGTATATATGCTTCTCCATTACAAAGCCCCTAAAAAATACAGGCCTCCGCCATCCAGCGTTGCAGGCGATGCAGCGTGCAGACATCAGCGGCTGAGCGAGGCATAAGCCCCCATCATGAGCAGCAGCCTTCCCTCAGATGTGTTTGAATAAGACATGACGCCGGTTTATTTTTGTAACATCCCCCACCCTGGACTGTTGGCAAGCAATGGAGTTGTGACTAACCCTCTTCCATTTTCCACATTAGGCCTGAAAATAGAAAAGATACCAACTGCGTGTGTCTGTTCGGGTTTAGATTGGAGTCAATGAGGTGAAATTATCAGTAAATGTACGGTATTAACCGTTTTACACATGAGCAAAAAAATGCATCATTGTGCAGCGCAGCAGTGGTATGCCGCTGGAGGAGGGGAATCCTGCTGCGAATCTGAATGATGTGCATCCAAATTAGAGTTCATTACCCAATGCCGACACACTTTTCCTCAGCTGCGTTTCCAGCCCCGAGCCTCTTTGATGTCAAATAATGAAAAGACGTCCTCGCCGCTCTCAAAAGGCGTGTAGAGCCAATCTCTGCAGCGAGGCCTCGACTGTTCAAAGCCCGTCCAAACGGCTGCGGTTGAACCCGGCCGAATGTCTTATGCTGGTGTGAGCGAGAGAAGGTGGTGGGAGCGATGGGGATGCGGTGGGGGGGCAAAGAGGCAAGCAATCTGTCACCATTGAAAATCCTCTGCGTGTCTCTCACAGGTCCCGACTCGCTGTAGCCCGGCGGCGGCGGAGGAAGAGGAAATGGTGGGCTGAGAGTGGGTGGGGGGGGGCGGGTCATGGAGGACGCCGCCACTACGCACCTGTGGTGACATGATCCAGTTATAACTGTGGGTGAGCATCCAAAGGATTTCTCTCTTTTTATGTGGATGTATTAATGATTTGCACCCAATGGGAATTCCACTGATTTCACACTTCCGGGTCAGTTGCCACTGAACCAGCCACTAAAGTTTTACAAAGTTTTCTCAGGTTCAGGAGGAGCTTTGGCAAGTCTGGGAACAGCAATGCTGATGATGTCGTAGAATTGCGCATTTGCTAAACATGGTCCAATAAATGATTGCATCCCTTTGCCTCGCTGGGGGAATCAGGGGATGCAGTGAAGCTCGTTGGTTTTTCTAGAATGAATCCATATTCTGTTGTTTCTGGATTAAAAATCACCTGGGCTAATTAGATCAAAAAGGAGGTCCTCCTCCTCCTCCTCGCGAAACGGTCCTTTAATCAACGGAAGCTATTGTTCTCCAGCCAACATACTGCTTACAGATAAACTTCCCTACACCAAGGACCAAGGGAATATTCACAAGGTCAAGGAATGTAAGGAACGTAAGCAATTCCAGTGTTGTGATGGGTAGACGAGGGTCTTTCAGATTGCGCAGTGAAGTGTCAGAAATGACTGTATTTGCTTCTGATTGAGAAGATACGGCTCTTTAGACATGTGAGGATTCCAAGAAGATTGTTTGGTTTTCTAGAGTGTGTGAGTAGGTTTAAAAAGCTCAAAGTGATCTTGACTTGTAGCTGAATGCTGATGCCACTGATGGTGGCGACGTCATTTTCATATTAACTTACTGTACTTCATCCCACAATGCAGAGCCATGCAAAACATTTCCACAGAGGAATTCACTATAAACCTCCCGGCTAAATTAGAAAAAAATACGGCTTTATAACTCGAAAAATAAACCCAGCTCAATCAACACAATTGGCATGTACAGTCATGGTCTGCAGCGATATACGGCCGCCTTCCTCAGCAGTGGGAAAAGGGTCACTGTGGGAAGTGTAATGACTCGCTTCCTCACCTGTAGAGCTGTAATGGATATGCCGAACGCCTGCACTCACATTACGTCTGTTTTCTCCTTTGTGTCGTTGCGCAGGCTAGTTGAGAACTGCATTTTTCCGGTTTGCGCTCGGCGTAATGTCAAGCAGTCTTATGAGGGGGAGCAGAGACGAGGAGGTCTGTCATCCTCACATTCAATTCGACTGAGCTTTCATGGGGGCAAGGTGGTAGGACCCAACAACAACAAGAGCAACGTCTGAGGCGCAATGATGCAATCCAAAACAAACAAACTGCAACAGTAATGATTTTCATTTTCAATGAAAGTTTGCGTGAGGTCAACTTGAATGTCGTAACATGCCGCGCCGCTGCGTGCTTAACAATCTAACATCTCAATGACACACGACGTGTTCATTTGTCATTTAAACGACTTTTTTGAAATCATTGCATAATCGTGTGTAGCCCAGTTTTTTCCTAAGTTGCTGTTTTGGCTCATTATTTTACAGTCCTCTTACTTACACTACTGCTGCAGCCCTTTTGCCCCTTTTACAGGCTCAGCGTTTTCAAATGAGTCAGCTGGAGACGTCAGCCTGAGACCTTAATTAGCTTACATTAGATGGCTGCAGAAAATCGTTTTCATTTGGGAATCAGAATTCAGTCTGAATCAGACTGGCGTAGCAACAGTAACTAAGGCTGCGTGCAGCATGACATCTTTTAGTAACGTATATACCACATTCATGTCACACCTATGAACAAATTATTGGATTAAGTCTTCTATATCACCAGCGATCATTTAAAATGTCACCACATTTCATCTTGAATTATGGGGCAACCGATGACCTTAGTCCGTGCCTCTCGTGTATCAGCATGCATTCAGGCCACGCAAAGAACTATTCATCTTTGATGAAGATGATTACGCGACGATGCCATTTCAAATCTGTTGTTGCTTCTGTAGCCGTATGTGTTCCTAGTAAGTTTAGTTGCCCAAATTCATGCCAACAAATCAGAGGCACAAACAAACTTGGACTGCCTTTGAGCTATCGTATACATTTAAACATGTACCTTTGAAGTAGCTTTAAACTATTAAGTGCAAGTAGATATTAATCCGTATAGTAAACCTTAAAAAAACACAATGTATTTAACCTTTTGAATGAAGTGGTTTCCGCTACTTCTAGAGACCTTCAAGTCAATAATTAAGGATATTTCAAGGTTCATTTGTGGATGATATTTCAATTACTTCCCAGAGAAGGTCGTCCATGCTGGAACTGCATTTATCAAAGTAACACAAAGTTGAAACAAATGGTCTGGAACCAGAGGGAAGGGCACACATCGCAAACATGTCCCGTGACATCGTTTCCTGCCATTTGGCCTGAGACCAGTTACAGCACTGGGCATGAAGTCACCGCCTCGTCCTCCGTGATGGCACCAATGAGCTCATCGGGTCGGCACGAGCTGCTGCTCCTCGGTCGCCTGTGGTGGTTTTCACCCTCCTTTTGTTGGCTGCGACGCATTTAGAGATTTGCTTTTATTTTATGACTTTAGATTTTTACCTTCTTGAGGATGCACCTGCTCCATCATCTGGTTTGTGAACACAAACCGTCACATTTTATTCTTGTTTTTCTAGGCTGTTTGAATGGATTTCATGTGAAGTCTAAAACCGGTTCACCTTTGTTCCGCAGGTAATGCCGAGCCAGAGAACCAATCCTGGAGATGCCGAAGAGAAGAGATATTCTTGCCATCGTGTTGATCGTGTTACCCTGGACGCTGCTCATCACTGTTTGGCACCAAAGCGCTATAGCTCCGCTCCTCGCCATCCGCAAGGGTGAGCAGTGCACAGACGAAAAGAACTGACGATATTCCCCGTAGCACGCATTGTAGACTTGTTAGCACATTCAGCAGGCACATTATTCTCGCGTTCGCCATTGTTGTCGTTGTTATGAAGTGAGGCATTGGGGTTAATAAGGGTTCAGCGTGAGGTTGCATGCAATCACGTGATGGTTGACGAACCATCACGTGATTGCATCACGTATTTGTTCGTCTGCACGCAATCGGATTTCGAGTTTACTCACTTTGGACCCCCGATTCCAGGAACCACCAGCGCAGTGACACTTATTCAGTCGTTGTGAACCTCATTAGTGACAATTGTTTGGTGCACGATGAGGAGGTTAAAGATGCATTCATGCTCTCATCCATCAAGGAGTCATTTTTGATATCGTACCTTTGGATCGTTCAGCTCAGTAGCAAAAATGTCTGCTCAATTAGCTCCACGGAATATCTTCAGACCACGTTTCCTATCATGTTGGCACACCAGTGTGGGTCATTAGGGCGCAAACTCATGAGCCTCCCGATCACCCCCCAGTGACCGCAAACCGACAGTGTAAAATGTCAAGCATTCTGCAGATAAACAGACCCATCAGAGCCACAGCAAATCGATAGAGCACTTTTCCCTCTTATAATGTCACACTACCACCATAACAAGAATACACAGTTGTCCCAAAGAACCTGGCAGTCAACAAAAGCTTCAAATGTTCTTTAATAATTAGTTTTGGTCTAATTGGTTGGCACTCCACAGTGTTACTAATACAATTCTTCACCAACAAATTAACAAAAATAAAAACAGTGTTGACAATTAAGTAGAGCAAAGACAAGAAGTCTAAATAGAAAAAAGGCTTGCGAGTGCTAACTGTCCAGCTAAAGGCCTCCTTTTGTGTGCCGTTGTAAAAGAAGCGCTGGCAGCCTTTGTCAAACATCTGGCCATCAGCTGAGCGCAGAAAAGCCCTCCTCATGTCGGAAGTGCGCCCGGAGCTCGGTGTGAACTCTGACGGAGCTCCTCATTAGCTGCAGCACAATGAAACATAAATGGCTCTCATCATCCTATTCTGTCCATTTTAACCAAAACTACGGGGGCCAGAGCGGCGCCGCCTTCGCCTCGAAAGTATTCAGTATTCATCCTGTGTGGTGTCTAATATTCGACGTGAGCAAAAGCAGTTCAGAGAAAACCGTTTTTTTTTTACGGTTTTACTTGCACATGGCGTTACCTGGGTTTCTGGACTCCCGATAACCAGCGTGCATAAAAGGGAAGCATCTGCCGATGCAAGCGTATGGGTTTTGTTTGAGCAAAAAATCCCATAAATAAAGAGTAATTTATTGGTAGCAGAGTGTTCAGTCCCACCACAGTTATTCGTAGCATTTTAGGTCATGTTTAGGTATCTCTGGGGCAATACATATTCATAATGAAATGAATGTGAACATAAATGCATAAGTACGTTGCAGGAAAGTAGCACAGTGTTGCTAAGTTAGGGACATGGAGGGGCAGGAGGAGGACGAGGGAGTCCCCGGTGGTCCCTTTCCTTGCCCACCGTGCATCAGCTGTGTTTTCCTCTCACGGTGCCTGCTTTCACTTTTTGCAGCTTGTCACCATCTAGTTAAAGAGATCTTTATCATACCAGAGACGCTCGCTGTCCGCCACCACCGTCTCTCAGGTACACTTTACCCCTTTCGGGTTTGAGTCACCTGAGGAAAATATACAAAGGGCAGCCCAAGGTTACACTAATGCCTTACATGTCTTCTTATCCCCAAATCTGCAGATGACGGCGTGGAGGGCAAGAGGGAGGCAGGTGGTCAGGCACAAGACTCCAAGGAGTACTGTGCCTCAGATAAGGACATTGTGGAGGTGGTGAGGACAGAGTATGTGTACACGCGGCCTCCGCCCTGGTCCGATGTGCTGGCCACCATCCACATCATCACCCCCACATACAGTCGACCGGTACAGAAGGCGGAGCTGACGCGGTTGGCAAACACCTTCCTCCATGTCCCCAACCTGCACTGGATCCTGGTGGAGGACGCCCAAAGGAGGACGCCCCTCGTCACGCGGCTCCTGCGGGAAACGGGACTTAACTACACCCACCTCAATGTGGAGACGCCCAAAAACTATAAGCTGCGCGGTGACACTCGGGACCCCAGGATTCCCAGGGGCACGATGCAGAGGAATCTGGCCCTGCGATGGCTGAGGGAGACCTTCAACGCCAACAGCAGCCAAGCTGGAATCGTCTACTTTGCAGACGACGACAACTCCTACAGCCTGGAGTTGTTCGAGGAGGTCAGAGTCGCTGTGCACTCGTGTTTGTTTCAGGCATTCCTCAACTCTTGGAGAGAAAAAGACGTGGCACATTTACAGGAATTCACACTCTGGGGCGTCGCTACGTCACCATTTTGGGGTTTTCAGGATGTTCGACATGTCACGGGATCTGTGTGTGAGAGGTGCTATCGTGGTGTTTTGTCATTACCATAACCCAATCATAAGCATTTCTAAACTTTGGATTGTAAACCATGTTCCAAAGTTCACCCATTTCCTGTTCTGCACCACTATTGAAAATTCTCAAGCTAAATCGGCCTTCTAAATGCGGCTCCACTTGAGTCTCTGAAAAACAATCCCAGTGCAGAGCACACGGTGGGTAATTCAGGGGGTCTGGGAGATTCATTTGTTGTTTCATTCCCAGCACAAACACAGACGCCAGTGGCTTTAGAAAGCTAGAAGGCTCAGCAGCCACTCGGCTAAAAAAAAAGTGAGAGGCTGGAATTGATCGGGGAGGCCAAGAATCAGTGAACCCTCAGCAATATGCTATGGTCCTTTTGTGCAAAGATCAGGTCAAAATTAAACCGACAGCTCTTTTAATCGGGCTCGAGGTGTCACGTTACGTCAGAGGACCGGAGACACGAGGACGTTAGTTTTTAATTTAAAGTTGCCTAACAAAAACAGACTAGAATAGCCACATTTGACAGACAAAGACAATGAACCTAGAAGGACACAATGGACACACACGGTTTAAACACACCGGGAAGGTGATTGGACGCAGGAGGAAACAGTCAGGGACAGGGCAGACAATCAAAATCGCAGCGGTAAAACACACCAGGGCAGGAAGTGAAGTTAATCCAGGGACACGAGAGGCAGAACCTACAAAATAAAACAGGACACACCGTGACAGCAGATTAAATATATTAGGTGAAAAATACAAATATATCACTGCCCAGCCATAAACTCAGTAGTCTACGCATCCGTGGTATTTTATGCAACAAAAAAAAATCACAGCAGCTGGTTTTTAGCTGGTGGAGCAAAGTTTAGTTACGTAATCAGCGCATTTGAGGCCATCCATCTCCACATCAGTTGAACTACCTGAGCAGACACGGCCTCGGTCTTCTGACTATTGGCCTCAAGTCTTGTTAGTAGTGCAAACAGGTTCCAGAGTCAATGGAGCGTCAGGTATTGACGGGGCCTGTCATTACCTTTCTCTGGGAATCAGCCAAAGTGCTCCGTCTCCCTCGGAGAGGCCCTCCGTCACCTCTAACGGGCCTATTTATGGGTCAGAGTGACGGCCCTGAGGGGAAAGAGAGAGACACAGACAGAGACAGAGTGATAAAAAGAGAAGGTGACAGGCAGGGAGGGGACTGCCACTACACAATAGCTTGCCAACACCACATCAAATATTCAGTGAAAACACATTATAGGTGTTTAAGTGTCCTGTGCGGAGACAAGGTGGGAAGATGGATGTGCTCCGCTCCATGTGTTGCTCATTGTTTTCCCCTGGTTATTCTTCATTCACAATGGAAATACATTTGTATACTTGTATATGAAATAAATTAGACCTATTTAGATGTTGCCGAGAAGTCAGCATTGGAACACATGAAATTATTAAAATCCTGTACATATGTCCTAAATAATAAATAATCAACTTTTAGCCAAACACACAAGTGTAATATCCTGGCATTAGCTTCACATTTTTGCGGCTGATAACTATGCCTTAAAATGGGTGGCATGAGACTATAAAACTTTGTACAAACACATTATATTCACCGGAGTGGGGCGAGAGGAAATTTGTTGTGTTTTCATTTGCTCGGGTGCCAGAAGAAGAGGGATGTGTGCTATTTTACTCCGGCTGATATTCCCACTAGAGGCAGCAGGCGGAACACTCGTTTGCACATTTTCAGACGGGAAAACGGGCCCCTTCACATTTCCTACAGAAAGCTTGATTTATTCTGCACTTAGGTTGTCCGAACTGTGTGTCCGCGAGGGAAGCAGGTGTGTGTTTGGGATCCAAACCGGGTTCAGCTGTCGCACGTCTTCAGCTGTATTCGGGCCACACAACACGTGTAGAAGGTTTTAGCCGCATAATCACACGTATACGTGTGAGCGATCTCTCTTCCACCAATCTCATTGTGGGTGAACGTCCTGGCAAAGTCCCGCCCCCTAAGCTAAAATCCACAAATTCCTATAAGCCCCCATCCCACGTAATGCTGTTCACAGTTCTCCGATCCTCTGAACTGACCACACAGCAGCCCATCAGAGATTATACACACCAAGCTGATAGATTATATATATCCTGTGCAAACGGCTATTTGCATGTCATCCGTGCACATATTTAACACACAATATACGCTTTAACTACGTGGACACAGGCCTATATTGCAAATATAAACATATTTTCTGTACGCATGCTCACATATTCATATAGTAACTCTACTTTATTTTATACTATATACACATTCTGTATACGGTACTTACATTTGCCCATTTATTTGGAAATAGATCGTCTCCATAGCGGCACCAGCATCATTATTTCTGCTGCATTGAGTTTGATTAAACGACTCTGCTGCTTTCCGTTCCCTCACTATAAAAAAAACGTACATTTTACGACTGCAGCCCCGGCGCCTCCTCCAGTGGCAAAGGCTAACTGAGGGAAAAAAGGGAAAGGGGAAGGGAAGGCAAAAATCCTTTGATGTTGGAAGATTAAAGGACAAAAAGAAAAAGGGGATGTCAGTGCTCCGCCGTAAAGTATCTCCTCCGCCAACCAGCGAACTGCAGCCACTTGCTCTAATGGCTCGGCTCCTTCAAAGATGGTTGTGTCTAATTATACGACGGCGGTGCAGCTGTTGAACAATATTCGTGATCCGCCTTCATCTCGCCGTGCGTCTGTGTGTGCCGCTCGCCGTCTCTCGGGAGCGAACAATGGCCGCGGCCCTCAGGACCCCCGGCTGATGCTCGAATAACGTTTCAATGTCTGCTTCTTCTCACATTCTTCACACCCTCCCGTCACCATTTCTTTCTCCCGACTCTCCTTCTCGCCAGATGAGATCCACCCGCAAAGTCTCGGTGTGGCCCGTGGCCTTCGTGGGCGGCTTGCGGTACGAGTCCCCCAAGGTGAACGCGGCCGGAAAGGTCTACGGCTGGAAGACGGTGTTCGACCCCCATCGGCCCTTCGCCATCGACATGGCCGGCTTCGCCATCAACCTGAGGCTCATCCTCTTCAAGCCGCAGGCGTACTTTAAGCTGCGCGGGGTGAAGGGGGGCTACCAGGAGAGCAGTTTGCTCCGGGAACTCGTTACACTCAACGACCTGGAGCCTAAAGCAGCCAATTGCACTAAGGTAACTGAGCCGTCTGTGGTTAAAGTTTAATGAGAATGCTAGAAAGTATTGAGGTCCCCTACAGATGAATCAAAGTACAAATACATCAATGCAAAGGTACTCCATTCCAAGTCTATTTAAAAAAAATTCCAGCCTGTGTATTTTGAGTAAAAGGACTGAGCAGTTAATAATAAAATGATGAATAAATACGTAATTTGCTTTTTGCAGGTTGTTTTGCATGATAACTCTGGGTTTTTGTGAGATTGTAGTTGTGCAGCAGAGGAGAAACAACGTAAAGTCTTTTAAAAAAACATTTTAGAGAACAAAATCTTTAATGGAGGTGCTGAGGACGAATAGAAACCTTTTGTTGGAGGTCACAGGTCAAACAGGTCAGGAACAACTAGTTCAATCTTTAACAGAACACTGATAGTATTTTTCTTTTGATTTTAAAATCCTAATCAAGTGCAGAAGTAGAATAAATGCAGAATAGTAAATAGTGCAATATTTTCCTTTGGAATAAAAGAGTAGATGTGAAAAGCTGTATAAAATGGCAAAGCCCACCTTCCACCACCTGCTGTGGACTGATGAAATAGCTGAAATAAGCTCTTTATGAATCTGCACGTAGAACCATATTGGTGTTATAAGTTTACCACTAATTCAGATTCAGAGTAAATAAAACATTATCTTGCAGTGTTGCATCTGACTGTGCTTGTGATTCAGGACAGATTTGAAACTGCTGGTTTCTATAATAAGATCGATCTGGCTGCAACACATTTCCTCATGTGTTTATTCACATATGATGTTGTTAAATGCGTCATACTTACTTGATTAAGCATCTGCATCTGGGAAAAAAATAAACTTGTGAGTTAACTGCTTTGTGTGTCCGCCCCCTCGTGCCCCTCTTCAACGTAAACAGGCCAAGAAACCCAAGCATTTACTTCTGAAAAGTTGTTGCTTGTTGGAAATCATTGATTATGTTGCGCACATTGTCCACATCGCTTTCTGCACACACACACACACACACAGACACACACACAGGCTTGAGGGCAGCAGCAGCAGCAGCTAAGCCGCTCCACGGTTCCCTCTAACGACCTTTGGTCTGCGAGGGTCACACCGCTAACCTTCTTGTTGGGCAAAGGGAAGAGTCGGCCCGGGGGGGGGGCTCCGGCTAGCCGGGCTCCTCAACACAATCAACCCCACAGACGCACAAACACACAAAGAGAGAGCGGGGAGAGGAAGGCTTTTTCTCCCGCTCTCCCCCCAGCCTTTCAGAGGGCTAAATGAAAAGAGGGGATTCAGGGAAAGGCCGAGAGAGCGGAATTGGACTTGGGAGGAACGGGGAGGGAAGGGCCTGCACACTGATTACAGATGAGCACGGGGAACGGACTGGAGGGCGGGAGGGGTGGAGGGATAGAGAGGTGGAGGACGGGTGGAGGTGTGGGGAGGAACGCGATCGTCGCGGATCGGCACCCCTCTTCTCTTATAATCTGCCACTTCCGATGCGAGTGACTATTAACCTCCCCCAACACCTGAGTAAAGCGGGAGTGCGCTCGCGGCACATCTGAAACACGCCGGATGCATAATTCATGGCCGGCCGCCACGGCAGGATGAAAGCGAGGAGGACTCCAACGCGGCGAAGAGCGAGGAAGGATGAGCTCGGCTCTCCTGGCTCTCCTCCCCTGTTCCCGCCGCCCTCCTTTCCTGGAAGTTTGTCCTAATGAAGACTCCAATAGCATAACCCAGGAGAACCGTGCAAAGAACTGTAACGCCACTGCAGGGGCCCATATATATATATATATATATATATATATATATATATATATATGTGCTGTGTCAAAATGTCATTTGAAGGTGGCCATCATCCTATAGGGGCGGGAGAGGACTGTGCACAGGCCGAGCTGAAGGGGCCGTGTCATATTTGGTCGCTCTTCACTCACTTCTAATGCAGGGTTCACGCTCAAGTAGCTCTTTACACACAGACAGCGCCGGCGGCGCGGCGTGTACTGAAAGAGCTGCGAACAGAATGGACTATTTTGGAAGAAGGCGAGGCGGGGAGGGAGCTGAAAGGGATGAGAGGACTCCACGAGTGCATTAAGGGAACAGCGTGGCCCTAATGTTGCTGTTGTTTGTGTTGTTTTTTTTCCTCAACAGATACTTGTTTGGCACACAAGAACGGAGAAACCCGTCCTCGTCAACGAGGGGAAAAAGGGATTCACAGACCCCAATGTGGAGATTTGACCGTTTCCCGTCAGAACGCGGTAATTAATGATGCCGATGAGCATTTTGACAAAGTCTTACGGACGAGCAGCTGTTTAAATTTATATTTACTTTTTTTCTGCATTCATAATCTGTGTGCTTCCTGTTTGGGCGTAATTACAGCAGCCGGTGTCCATTAATAAAGGCCACCTGTGAAATAAACAGGTTAAATTAACTTAATTAAGGCTTATCTTAATCCCTTCATTGCAGGTGGTTGGCCTTGGACCCGTGGAGGAAGAAAGCTGCGAGCGCTCATGTCTTAATCATCAGAAAAAAGAAAGAAACGGGGGGCTTTTGAAGGGGGATTTAATCCTCTTGACTAAATCTGACATTTTTTTAAATATGGCCCCAAAACAGTACAAATGTACCATATTAAAAGCACAGATGAGCAAAAGGCGGGAGTTATTTGTCCGGCCTACAAGTGGAGTGCAGAGGAGACGACATAAAGGACGCCTCAGAGGGTCAACGAGGACAGACGTGACCTGCACATTCACAGTACAGCGGCCCGCTGAGGACAACCCGACAAAAGAGACAGCACAATATGTCGAGCGTGCAGCCGGCGGAGTCAACCAAGCAAGCAGGTTAAAGAATATCCTTCAACTCCAAAACACTGGGGGGGGGAGAAGAAACACGATGCGCAGATCTGCACACGGTTCGTGAGAGAAATCTGGATTTTAAGGACACAGTCTGCATCATCGGCCTGGAAATAAACACGTCTCCAAGGACGACCCAAGTCTTGTGTGGATTTGACTTTGGTGCAATCGCGAGCTTAGCAAGGGGGAAGAATGTTCTTTTGATAACTATAAAAAAAAAAAAAGAAGATGTTTGCTCTGAGTTGTTTCACAAGCACCTGACTTGCTAGTTCAATACTGCTGACTCTTACCTGCATTTACTCTCGGGTTATCATTGTTCATTTTACGGTGTCATTATAACTTCTGCATTCAAGCCGCCCCCCGTGCACTCGAAGGGAGGCCGTGGTCTGAAATGAAACCCCTGCCGTGCTTTGAAGCCGAAACGTAGACGCGTGTGTGAATAGTAATTCAACATCACAACAATCGGATGACTGATGACAACTTTTGACAAAAGCATTGTACTTAGTGTATTTATTTATATTTAAAAAGAAGTATATCCCGCCCCCACACCGCCGCCCACACGACAAGGCACAGGTTCACTCTAGGTCAAACACATGGGAAGAGTAATAGCACATCACCGATCTCGTACGAGTGATATTCGAATGCACGGTCACATGTCCACAAGACGCCATAAATCAAAGGCCAGCATTTTCATTTTCAGGTTGCTCTGCTCTCTAAATATTCACTTTACCATTAGGTGAGGGACACAAAAGTCCAAAAATATCAATTCAGATGCCGAAACTCACCATCCAATAGCTGGCGTGAACTCTGAAGGACCTATTAAAACAAATAATTGTGTTTTATGAAAACTTTACGCGTTACTCTCACATGACAGCCGGCTTAAAAAAAAAAAGGCACACAAATGAATCTTCCTTAATGATTTGGTGGCCCTCTTCGGTATTGTGGATTGATGTCTCGTGGTCATCACCGGTATCACGATCCATCTGTTATTAACCGGATGAAAGAAGAGGGCGGACGCACCTCTGAGGACAGTAACAAAGTCATTCTGCGCCGGAGACAACAGAATTTCCCCTCTACTCGATTACTCATCCGTCTAGTGAAACACTCGCTGGTGGTTCTTATCTAACGTCGGCCGGCAGAAGCAGCTGGAGATAATTCAAACACTGAGCCTTTGTATCGTTGCCAGATTATCTCTGTGCTGCCCCCCTTCAACAAACACAACCCAAAATACTGCATTAAAACTTGGGGCCTCTCGGACGGGGAAACTGTGCTATTACATATTTCTCTTAGAATATGATAAGATACACATTTGGGCAATTGGCTGTATTATATCTCTCATCCGACTGGCTGTTCATGGACTGCATGATATTACACTGCGCAGGGACCGGACACGGATATCACATCTTGTCTCCCATTATTTATTAAAGAATCCAATCTAATATATTTATCCATGTATTTATTTTATGTGAGGATGTGCATCTGAATCACAGCAGGGGGGTTTTCCTCCTTAAAGCTCTATTTTTCAGTGCTCTCTTAAAAAAAAGCATGCGCACAAAATTGAACAATTATTTTACAGATCAATAACAGGGTTGCGCAGACACACACACACACACACCATCTTCTTTATAGCATTGCTGTTTAAGTTCTACTTGAGTGGTCATTATCGACTTTTAATCTAAATAACTGAATCCACCTGAATAGTTTTTAGTGCTGAAACAAACCAAGTGTCCGAATTGCATTTAAAAGACTTGACTTGAACACTACAGGTTGTCTTGGAATTGAGTGTGTTGTCCTTGTATCATTTACCTTTGGAACAAAGCTAAACTCTTAACTTGCGTCGCTATTGTCAAAACGCAAGCGAGGTCAGCATGCGGTCGGATACGAATCTGTGATTTTAATCTCTGTGGTGTTTCCCGAGGCGGCAGAAACAAATCAAAGGGCTTCACCTTTGAAGCCCTTGACTTTATCTGATTTGGCGTGTTTCTGACGTATCAAGCAATACGTGAGAGGCTCACAAAGAGTTGATCAACCTCAGCAGTGCAGGTTATTCAGTATTTAATGTCAGTAAAGGAGCATTGCCCCTCTGAGGGGCTTCTCTAAGGCACAATACACACACAGTCCTCTCTTTTCCCCATCTCCACCCCCCCCCCCCAGTCTCATGTGATTCACATTTTATGCATGTGACTCTAATGGTTGTTTATTTGCCACAGCGATTCTGTCTCAGAGAAAGATGTTAGTTGAATCAAGAGAAATAAATAACTGAGAAAAAGCTCGCCCGTGTTGGAGTATTGTTTCCGTTTCGCTAAGCGATGTTGCAGTCGCCTCACTCACACACACACACACACACACGTGACATTTAGATATTTTTCATTTTCATGAACAGTGGGTTCGTAAAAACAACGTGTACATTCCTTCATATTGAATTAGTGATATATTAATGAATCCGGGTCTGTTATTGCGCCATGAGAAGCTGTATCGGTTTCTTTCTTCTGTCCTGACCGACAGATTATCAAAGGGATCAAAAATAAATAGTGTTATAAGGGGACAATGTCCTAAATAAAAAGGTAATTATATAGTATGGCATAAAATACAACTTTGTGGTATTTTATTCATATTACAAAGTGCACTAGGACATAGAAAAGCAATAGTATATCATGTCATTAGACGCGTGAACATATTATGGTTAGGTTTGGTAACCATAGGTTATGGTTAGGTTTTTATTATCATTTTATTTCAAGCGAGGGTTCATCAAAATAATAATATTGTATGTTGAAAAAAGCCGCAGAATAAGCCGAGGGCAGTCATGAAAATAGCATATTGAAAAAAAGTCAGAATAATATAACATTTCAATAAAATCATGAAAAAGGTAATCAAGAACTCATACTTTGTATTGAATCAATAAAAGTCACAGTATCATAAAATATTGTATTGTATAGTACCAAGAGTCACAGTATAATGTGTCAAATAGTCAATGCATAATACATCTGAGAGAGCCAGGAAAAAGCCATTAAGAAGTTATACTGTAGTATGCTGGAATTAAAGTTATTGTATAATAGGTCAAAACCAGTAATGAAAAAGTAATTGAGTAGTACGTCAAAAAACTTCAAAAACAGAATTGAAGCCAACGGGTAATTACTCATTTTTATGACATGCTACACTGTGGCATTTACTACACTGTAATATGTTTGTCAATCATACACGTCTCTGCTCTTTGAATATTTTATCCTGACATTCAATGCCGTAATATTCTTCTTGCATTATGATGGAATACTCTATCATGATATTTTAATGGAACCTCCAAGAATTATTATAATATGATATTGTTATGACTATTTTACGGCATACTGTACTGACACCTTTTTATGGCAATCTGATAACATACTATATCATGGCAATTTTTATGATTCTTTTTTTTAATTATAAGGATATTTTTATTGATATTTTGGTTTTTTAGGCTTTGTCCACATATAACCTGCCATACCGACACATGTCAAAATACCATCGATTAAACGGCTTATTCTTCAAATGTCACAGCACCGCTTCCTTGTGGCATCATTCCCTAAAGAAAATAGGTGGGATGTGAGGCTGGTAAGCAGGCACCACACGTAAAAGAGGAGAAAAGACACTCTGCAAAGACGGCTTCTGATCTTTACTTCTCCGCAGGAGTTCACAGCGGGATCACAAGAGGGTACATCTAAAAAGTAAGCAGGTTTGTATCAAACAGGCTCTCAGTGTGCAGCACAAATAAAGCAGTTCACAAGCTTCCTGACAGACACGGAGGTCACGCCGCCCTTTGTTAATAACCCTTTTCACGGAGCAGAGATTATAAATTACGTCTGTAGAGATTTTACAACCCTTTGTGACAATAGAAGAAGAAGCCTCGTGGTTTGCGTGGAAGCATATGAATGCAAGATAATGGCGCTGTTAAAAAAAAAATAGGGTCCAATAGAATGTCACAATAAAACAGTCCCTGAGTCAGAGCCAGGGACCCCCTGCCGTGACGGCGTCTCACTGGACATCGACGGTCATGCCGTACTCGCCGCCGCCGGAGAACTGAATCCTGCCGTCAGTTTCCTGCTCCTCAAACACTACGACCTGGAACAAAGCGCCACGATGCACGTTAAGGTGACGGTCGTGAAAGGAGCGCGGGTGTAAAATGGTGATCGGTGTCTTCTAGACAAAGAAAGTGATTTATTGAGAAATGTATTGGTGCAAAGTTACTCGTTTGTGGTATTTAACAGAGACAGAAGTACCTGGTTGTCCCCCCTGTGAAGCCAGGGTCCCGGGACATACAAAGTCTGCTGAGGGCCGATGGACCAATAGCGACCCAGATTCTTGCCGTTGACAAACACCACACCTTTGCTCCAGCCCTGTGAAGACAAGCGGGGACTGTTACCCATGACAAGTTCAGCCAATGAAATGAAAGGGTAAAAAATAAGAAACTACACCGCGTGTCAAGCACTCCTCAACATGTTTGTGTATTTTGCTTAATACGTCGGGAGATTGTTGTCATTTGCAGCTCTTTGCTTCACTTCTCCACATCTGGCCACTTCATTTTGAGCTTTAGCAACGGAAAAACTGCGCGAGAGTCACAAGCCAAAAAAAAACCCCAGAGAGATGCAGCCGGAGGGTGCAGAAGCACTTATTCAATCAAGAACAGCATTATGTAGCCTCGCATATGAATGGGATCGTCATCACAAGCTCGTTTTCTGTAAGGAGCCATTTGCGTAATATAATAATATAATACATTGTTGTGCAAACATATCCAATGAATTAGTGCGCCAGCTCTCTCAATACAGCTCTGTGCACAACAAAAGGGTCAAATCTAAATTCACACTCAATCTGAATTTCTAACGCTGCTACTCACAGGCAGTTTGATGAAGGTGTCTTTAGGAGAGCCGCTCACATGGAGTTTGCCCTGGAAAAAAGCCGGGAAGGTGGGCTGCTGACGCATAGACGCCCAGTGGCCTGAACGGCACAGACTGAAAAAGAAGAATACATTGCATCGGTTATACGCCCACAGTAAATATCCAGGGAAAACTATAAGTTATTCGTTTTCCTTCAAGTAAATGCAAAAGGTTGCCGTGACAGAAGAAAAAAAAAAATCTTCCTGTTTTACCTTTTTAGGTTTCACTCATAAAAGGGGCTTCAGGCAATGACATTTCCAAGAGGAGAAGAGATTGCAAATGTTCAGCACATTTAAAGTCCCACAAAGACTTGAAAATACATGTAGATATTCCACTAAGTACACACTTCTGAATTGAGATAGAAGGTCAGCCAATCCTGCTGACCTTAACGCATTCAACAAATATGTGCTGCATACAAAGGGTAAATAGTACAAGATAACACAGAGAAATTGCAAATATCAACAAAGATGGAATGATCACGAAGGGTCATGGGTGACGTTCGAATTCAAGCCGGTGTCAATGACACTGATGTTCAACGGGATTATCTGCACACGGTGTTGTAATGCAGTTTTGTCTGTTTGACTCTGTCTCCGAGGGAAACGCTGGGTGGATTAACGGAGGTGGTGATGACATTTAGCACACGGGTGGGAGCGGGCTCACAGGTGAGTGCATAGCGATGGGACACGGGTGCGTTTTTGACTGCGCCTCGACGTGTCTCGGCCTGGCGCGACTCATCTCCCCCGTGCGGTATCCTATCCTGGAACCGTAATGAATTAACAAGAACGGGGCTAAGGAAAAGAGATTGGGCAGCCAATGGTTTTGCGTGTTCCCGTTTGTTTGTTGATGGTCCATCGGATGGAGTCAAAGCCACTGCACACGGGGTCATGCAGCATGATCTCGTGATATGAAAACACCACGAGGGAAATAGATTTTCTCCTCAGGGTGCAACCGGGTTCCTAATGCTCGGCTGTTGTGAAGGAAATATCAATGTTTATTATGCGATGGGTGTCCTATTACAGAAAAACAGTTTACAAGAAATGTAGCAGCCAAGAAAACAAAAGGGGTTTGAACATCGGAGGATGTTTGCTAAACTAATGCTTGGAACTAAACATGTTCCGGTTCCACCTGCAGCACTGCTTACAGTTTTGGATGTCTAACATGACACGCACGATCGGATGGCTGTGTTATGATTTCTGCAAACTGCAACATGTTCCCACTGTGATTGTGTCATGAAGTCACGGACCGGATTGAATCAGGAGCCGGCAGGTGTAATGAGAGAGGAACAGAGAGATGGAAGAAACAAACCTGTCTACAAAAGCTGGCTTCATTTCCAAACTACGAATTATGAAGTCACGGAGAGGCCGCTTGTTGAACTCGATATCCCCGACAAGACCTGAAAGGTGAGGCAAAGCGGCTTCAACTGGATCTTTAGGTTGTTGTTTTCATTTGTTTGTTTTTTTACCTTAACCTTTAAATTAATCTTTTCCTCAAAGCTGACGTCCTGAAAGGACAAACATGGTTCTATAGCAACATAATTCCTTCGTGATCATAATTCCCCACGGTCACTGCGCTACAGTAAACTACCATTCATTTTCTCAATTTCAACTGTTTAAATGAAAGTATGTTTATGTAATTTCAGTGTTGCTGCAGTGCTGGATTATACAGTAGTAATAATCCTAGAGGAAACCACGAAAGCCAATTGCTCAATTTTCCCCAGAACAAACATGGGAAAATTGCTCAATCTGGAAGTAAAAACAACAATTTTTAAGTCAAGGCTCTAAATTGACAGTCTGATCTAATAGAAAACATGATTTAATGCTTTAAAAGGACATAAGTTCAAACATTTGATGGGTTTCAATAAGGACATTTCTGTCTTCAATGATCTGAATGTCTGTATTTTGGCTGCATAGTTTAATATAGCAGCGGTTTAATCGCCAAGATAAAATTGTAAAACTCGCCATATGCATCAACACATGCAGAATGATCAAAAAATATGAAGCCAATATTATCTTTTGAGTTGCATAAGGATTAAGATGATGTTAATTAGTTTCCTTCAAGGTATTTTAGCTGAATGGAGTCTTTATCAGTTTAAAGAACGTTTGTACCTTTGCGCTGCTCATCCAGAGTGTTTCCATAATTCACTCTTCCACAGTTCTCCACCAGTAAACTCAGAGTTCTTTTTCCCTTTAAAAAGAACGATAAATAAAAGATGAGATGCATTACTGAAATATAGCAGGATTCCTCAATGCAAAGTATGACACTTTGAAACAATGGAGTCTGAAATTCCTTTGGTAATTGATCAAGGCCGCTCTGAGTCTGCACTTTTCTGAGAGGTCGAAGTAGACTATTCAAATTTGTTGTGATAAACAGTCATTTGAAGGTTTGCTGTTGGCTAAATAAAGAGCCCCTGCTGCCAAAAACCATCCATCAGCATCCCCCGCAGCTCTCACACGCTGTTGAATATTAACAAAGTTATGCTTTTGAAGGTAGCTTACAGTACACTAGAAGGACACACAAACACACACTCACACCCACACACACACACTACCTTCCCATCAGGGACTGCAAGTTCTTGAGTATCAAAATCCAAAACACCAACAAAATGTTTGCCCACAAAAACCTGTGAAGAAAAGGAAAGAGAAACGATAAGCAAGAAAAAGAAATGCATTTGTGTTGCTAATGTGACCAAACGTCAAGTTACAATAAGAAAAGGCTCTGCAGAGTGCACAGATTACTGATTTCATGCACAGCACACATTAATGTGAATGAAATATACATTCCTCCACCGTAACAGAATGGGAGCGCCGGCCCTCAACGGCGAGCATTAATGCATTTGTCTCAACATTACCCTCCTCCTCTCTTTCCCTAAAGACAAACTTTTAGAACTCACGGCTCTGAGCAAAGTGTGACATAATTTAACACCATGGCAACTGGTGCAGCCTGAGCTTGTTAATTGTCCTCCTCGAGCACACGGAGCAGAGGTGTGACTTCAGTTGGCAGGTTGCCGCATGCCGACGCTCTCACGGGGAGTGAGAGTGTGTGGTTAAGGATTGTGTCGATGCTCGTCTTCCCGTCGTTACCAGTGCTCTGTCTCTAACGTTGTTCTTTGAGTTGAGGGTCCCCTCGCTGGTGATGGGGGTCTCGTACAGAGTGTACCCGTAGGACTGGCCGTTGTTGTTGTTGACGGGGAGGTTCTCCATGTTCACCGGCCTCTCGGACTTCAAAGGCTGAAACCGACGCCAAAAAAAAGAAGCAAGCTGACAGCTTAAGACGGACACAAGTTTTCTTTTAAACCAATTCATGTTTTTGAAGTAGCTGTATTTAAAGTAGGGCTGTCAACATTAACGCGGTAATATATGCGATTAATGTGGCCAAGATTAATGCGATAAAATATTTTTTCGTGATTAATCGCGATTAGTAAGTGTCAAAATGTGCGATTAATTTGCTAATTTTTTTAAATCTATTGACAGCCCTAATTTAAAGTGAACACGCAGTCTCAGAGTCACCCTCAATGCAGAAGGGATCTTATGATTCACACACTCGCCAGATTCACCCAAAGTGATGATGTATCAAACCTAATGAAGCTTTCCTTTTCTGGCGTTCGCAGCAATTCTTTTATTCTGCATTATTCTTTTGCATACCCTTGGGAGGTGCATTATGCACCCTTCACGAGACAATAAACACTCGGCGCTATGACACGATTAACCGCGCACTTGCAAACACACACAGATACAATATCAAACTCAGACATCCCACTCAGTCATTCTAAAGCCTCTGAAGAGAAAACGCTCTCTTTGAACAAGGGCGGGCGGCTGGTCAGGGGCAAAGTAATTGTCGTCTCAGAGGGAAGCGAATGATTGCCACGGCGAGTGAATGATGAATGTTGTACGCTGCTGCCAGACGCGCTGCATCTGGTTTGAATTGAAATGCCCCCGAAGAGCACGTAAATGGCTAAACACGATGACACCCTCCAAACAGGTTTTTAACCAATTCCTTTTTTTTAGCTGCATTTGTTTGTTTGTTTTCCAACAACCTACTTAACATTGACAAAGCTGCACATTGTTGGTTAAGGAGGCCACTCGCACAGTTAGGAGAGAAGGTCTTGCTTAAGGGCACCTCATCAGCGGCTGTTCATTAACGGAGCAGAGAGACTCGTTTATTTCTCATCCTTCCTCAGTAGGTCCTGGAGATCCAGCTGGTTGTGAACGAGCTGAAAGCTCACGTCTCCGACTCACAGATTTCCACGACCACGTTGAAACAAGAAACAAATTCTTTCTGTGGGAACGTATACTACTGTATAGTGTGTGGTTCGCTTTCTTTGGATTGACCAAATAAATGTCGGGTTTTATTGGACACATGGAATCGTTGTGGAATCTGTATCTCATTTTAAGATGGATTTCTAATGTTTGAATGCTTGAAATTACAGCTACCAAGGCTACAAACTAAAATACAATAAGATTGAGTATTGGTGTGATAGGGAGCTTGTGCAACTGTAGGCACTGTGAATACATCTGTCGTGGGGCGAGGACAGCCTGAGGGAATCACGCTTCTCAAGTGCTTTGCAATGTTAGAATACATTTTTAAAGAAGTAAACAGACCACAGCAGGCTGCACATCCACAAAACTGGCAGCAAATTCTCTTTGAGTTTGTCGGATTGGCTTACTACTATTACTTATACATAAAATATTCCATGTATTATTGCTGTATGACTGACAGCGACCCCCTGACTCTCTGATGAGCAATGCTACATGGGTGATGTTTATTATTTCTGTGCCGCTCTCTGTGCACGCGTAGCTTACCTTGTCAGTGAAGTGCAGGCTGTCCCACAGAGACAGGTGTTGCTGGATGACAACGGGCTGGTACGCTGTCGTCTCGCGATGAGAGGGCGGATCAGGGAGAGGCTGGGCTAAAAACACAAACAGGGAAAATAAATTTTCTCTGTACATTCATTAATTTGCATTTATTTTATCCTTCATTTCCCCACTGGATGCAAGCTAGTCCAAATTGAATCGTTGCAAACATGAAGCATAACCCGCCCACGTTCACTCAGGAAAAGAAGAGAAGGACGGATATTCCCTGATCTGCTCATCTACCAATGATATCCTTCGGAAATGAAAACATTCCAACAGCAGTCCAAATAACCTTTTTGTCACAGCCGGAAAAAAAACTCCCAGCCAGAGTAATTCAAGTTCAACAAAGCATATTGCTCCATTCTGCCTTTCTTTTGCTTGTCTTCAGAATCTAAAGACAATGAATCACAGACAAAGATGACCTTGAGGTCCAGTTAGTCAGGTAGCTCTGCAAAACAATCTCTTTAAAACAATTCACAGCGGTTTCCCATGTCCACTCGCTGCTTTTAAAAAAGGGTGTGAAAGCATGCAGAGACACCAGCGGTCCCCCCGGTAAACACACCGCAGCATTTCCATTTGACCATGTGGAAACGCTGGATCACTCAAGGGAGGATAACGACGGACACCTTCCTCCTAAACGGCACACGTCGGTGCCTTTGTTGCCGTTACATCGTTTTCCAAATTGCAAATCAAAGAAGGGAAGAGTCGGTGTCGAAGGGCCACGTCTATGAAGATATTCACGGATTCAGACTCCTCGTGTTGACATCCGACCGTCCTCAGAGAAACGGTACCCCGAACGCATACCTCAAGTCATAAAGCGGCCTATGTGGTCCAGATGAAAGTGAGGATCATCCTAACAACATTGCATAATAACAAAGCATATGTGTCCCAGGTCTCTCTTAGGAGCCACGTTGTTGTAAAAGATCAGCCTGAATCCGTGCCAGGTTCTACCAAAAACACACTGCGGGGCAAATACAGTACGTACATGATCTGACAACCAAACAATGAAGCAATATCAAGATGATCTAATTAAGAAATTGGGTCACGTGTTTGCAGTTGACGAGGAGAACAAAAAAGCCTCCTCAGACTCACTCTCATATTCGGGCCGCTGCTCATTCTTCGGGAAACAACAAAACAGAAGGATGAATCATGCAAAGGAAGCCTTTCAAACTACCTTCAATCAGCACAAATTGTTGCTTTGCTGTTCTGGATTTAATCCCCACATAGTGGGCGTTTGTCCCAAACACTGGAGACCTTTGTTCCCGACAACAAACCCTGGTTTTACAAACAGACAAATCGACTTCAGAAATAAACGTGATGTGAGGCCCAGTATGTCATTTTCACAACGGGGGGCTTATTGGAGGTCTTTGACTCGGGCAGACGTTTCACACTCGTGCACAATCACACACACACACACCCTTATCCAATCCCCGCTTGTAATCATATGCAAAGTTATCCCAGTTTAGCCAACAGAGAGCGGGTACTACAAGAAGAATTAACTTAAGTGGGGAGATGAAAGGGAGGGAGAGAAAGCGGAACAGGAGACGGTGGGCCCCCGACGCGGCAACAACGCGCCACACTCACCGTGGTAGCGGCTGAATACGTCCCTCAGAAGACGGTACTTGGTGGTGTAATCCCCAGCCTCGGATAATGGAGCATCGTAATCTGAAAGATAATGCCGCTATCAGAAGAGCGGGTTCGGGAGCCCGCGGAGAGGCAGGGACGCCTCCTACCGCGGGGGGGGATGCTTTCAGTGTGCTTCCCCTATCAAACACCCCGAGACAGCGGCGGGCCGAGACACATTGGAGGTTATCTTGACAGAAAACGGAGCCTTCTTGAGGCATTCGGGGGGCGTAAACACAGGTAGAGCGCCGGCTGAAGGTCAGAGGTGGTCCACCCCCCCCCACTTCTACTGGGGAGCGGTGTTTTCTCAAGAACGAGGTCGTTGCAATGTTAAGCACACTGGAGGAGGACATGAAACGCATTCACATTTGGCATGGTTACATTAACAGGTAATGAATTCATTAGCGTGCACGGCGTATTCAAATATCAAACCAGCCGAAGGTCAGAGACTCAGGAGTCGGGATGGAGCCATACGAAGGAATTCATAAACCCCAATCATGTTTGTTTTTTTAAATCTCTAATTCAAATGTGCCATAATCAGGCCTGCTTTGACTGCACTTACTATACAGACTGTATTTCAAAAGGAAGGTTATTATTTCATGGTTATGTGCTCTCTTTTTAGCGTTCTTCACCCCACAGTGGCCTGATTCAGATGAATCAAAGTGAATCCTTGTGGTATGAATATTCTTCTTCTCCTACCTCGAAGGGATTTGTTTCCCTTAAATGGGATTTGTTTCCCTTAAATGTTATAATCCCTGGTCATAAACATGTTCATGGTACGTACCGTAGCTCGTCACCATCAGTTTGGCCGCCGGCATTCCGACGGCAAACGCTCCGCTCATGAAGCCAAAATTAGTCCCTCCGTGGAACATGTAGAGGTTGATGGACATGTCCAGCCTGAGGATCTCCGTGACCACAGCTACCATGTCTGTCAAAAGAGTGAAATAAACAAATCCCATCCAACGCTTAATTGTTCTGATACAACCAGTGCGTAAATGTGAGAATCACAAATGTAAAGCTAAAACATCAAGATCGGTGCCTCAGAAAAAGAAGGAAAAAAAAAGTCCATTTAATTCAACATGTTTCAATAATCCTATTCCCTTTAATTCCCCTTCAATTGAACACGGACAGACCTCAGCCCCACATCCAATTACAGGTGACTATAATTCATTACGGGGCAAAATTGCCCACCTCCCCCGCACTAATTAGCTAGCTGCATTTTGTAGCCAACACACCAAGGCAGGTAATTAAGTATTCAAATTGGACTTCAGTGGTCAGATTGGACTGACGATTTGAATCAAGGGCACGAGCCTCGGTGAATAACAATGGAGCCGTTTGAGCGACGGGAGCCGGACCCGGTGCCTTTCATGGGGGTGGGACTAGTAATGTAATGAACTGTCAGGGACACGGATCCCCTCTGAATGCCACATGAAACCTTTCTTACCCTGAAGGGAAGCCTTTCATGTTAAAGAACACGTTTGGGGTTGAGATGTGGATGACAGCGAGTCACGCGGAAGCCTGAGGCGCTGCGCTTCTAAATTGATACGTTTCTGAGGGCACTCAAGACGCGGATCATAGCTTCAGGTTTTACGAATGTGAACCGTGTATTTCACCGGTGTTCATTACACCAGGGATCACTCTCCTGGCATGCTGGAGAGTACATACTATACGAGGTGGTTCCTTAACATTCATATTGTACTAAGCGTCCATGTCAAATTCAGCATCAGTTTGAGACGTGTAGCTGAAAGAAGTAGTGGGTTAACTGATCATTCAAGAATTTATTTTGAGTGCCGCAAACTTTTGCAGGTTGCAGGTTCTTAAACGCAAAGGATTCAGCCTTTTTTCTGTTTAATATCATTCAAAAAGGAAATACGTTTGGATTGTAGGCTGTTAGTCAAAACCAAACAAGCAATTTCAAGGCAGTATCTTGGCTTCTACACACAAAAATATGAATTCACTTATAAATAATTACTATTTGAGCCCTTTTAGTTCATTAAAGGGTATGAATCCATCCACAAGTAACATGATGCACAGTCCTGCCAACGGTTTCACGCCATTCCACTGACCAACAGTTGGTGCAATTAGCAGCCAGGAAATATAGCAAAACACCCAGAAGAAGAGTGAGAGCATGAACATGAAACTTTTTAAGGCTCTCTCAAAAAATAATATTGAACAGCACACAACATCCTTTGTCCTTTAAAACACTTTAAAACGAGCAAGAGACTGAAGGATGTGTACAAAATAAAAATGACAAAGCAGTCAATCCATACGACGGAGATGATAAATATAATGAGAGTCGGATCATCCGTCGCAGAACTAACAATAGAGCAACGCTTTCTACTAACTATTACAGTGGTAGCCGTGGATACAAAGTGCAGTTCAATATTGCAGGACATTTACAGCCTGTACCTCGAGTCGATAAGATAAAAACACAATAAAGCAAGTTCCTGGTAGTTCTGGTTATACAACTTCAAAAACCTCGGAAACAAAAGACCCAAATGACTGACATTTAAATTGATTTGTAAATGGTTTGTACATTGCATTTAACTGCGGTAATGTAGACCGTGATGTAAATCCAAAAATCTTCATCAAAATGTTCCACACGGAACGCGGTGGGACACAGACGCTCTGGCTTGTGACACTCGGCACACAACGCGCCGAGCGTGAAAACTCTGTGACTCTGCGTGAAAGCCACGGAACGAGGGGGGGGGAAAGGCACCGAGTGGGCTCTTCTGTGGAGGAACCAGCAGCAGTTACAGGGACTTTCTTATACTCCGCCTGGAGAATTGATCTCACGCGTCCACACTCCCTCTTGGTTTTCCCCCTGAGCAGAAGAAAAAAGGCTTATGTGAAACCCTTTCTTACCCTGAGGCACTGAGACTCCGTCTCACCCTCGAGAGGGTCTGTTTTTTTCCTTCAGAGGTTTCTGTATTGGGTAGCCGGACCAAACCCGTCTTACCTCCGTCTCAAATTAGCCGGCTTTATCGAGCGCCTGTACAGAAAGAAGCTGTTTCACGCTCAACAAAGAATCCCTCGGCAGAAATCCTGTCTTAGTCCCACATTAACGGCGCTTTTAGTGCCGTAGCTTTCTCTAGCGAAATCCGTTGTACCCACACGGGGTCCTTCTTACCCTCAGCTGGGAACACATGATGGAGCTCCCCCCAAAGATCAAACCAGCCCGACCAGAACTCCATCACCATCTTAGGCTTCTGAGGCTAGTGGGAGCAAAAAGAAACCACTGAATGACTTATTTTAGTAATATGCACAAGCCTTTAAAGATTAAAGACATTCTTTCATTTCTCCAAGTGTTCATTTTAAGGTCTGTAATAGTTTTCCTGGGAACTACCTGGAAGGTCTACTTAGTGAAAAGTGCAAAGGTTGCTAATAATGTGTCTGTTTGATGTCGAGTTTGATCTTTGATTAGATCAGAAAACTAGCAATGACAGAATTTAAAAAAAACACGATTAAGTGACAATGAACACATGAATACAAATAAGACTCACTTGTATTCCATCCAGATATTTGATGTCATTCGGGTTCAGTCTCTGGAAATTGATGGTTTCTAGTGCTTCAGACACAACAAAGGCAGAACAATATTGTTCAAACAAATACAAACTATAAAAGATGCAGAGCATCAGTTCTAACAAATACCAAAACAAAAGCGCTTTACGGCATGATCATTGATTTCAGTTGCACTGAAATCCTCAGGCTTCTTCTTGTGTTTTTAAAGAAGTACTAGCTGTTGGGGGAATAGTACCTCAAAGTCCATATCAAACTGAAGTTATTGCAAGCAACTGCATTATGAGGCGCCGAGGCATCAAACTTCAACCGTTCACCAAATGGTAAAACTCCACGGAAGACACCCGGAGGAGGGTTTATTAAAACTGCTGCTCCAATGTGAGGATGACGACGACGACAATATTGGTTTGCATAACAAATAAAGAAAACACTTTTCAACACATTGAAGGCTGTAAAACAGAAATAAAATAGCATATGCGGCAAACAAAATCTGTATATTGCAGCATCACAATGTCTACAGCATGCAAAAGAAGAAAAAAAACACTTTGTGCGTGCGTCAGGACAGCGGCTGCCTGACACCAGGCCGCCCTTTGGCTCGGACCCCAGGTCACTTTGTGAAAACACAACACACTGCATGTGTGTGTGTGTGCGTGTGTGTTCATGCACAGCCTCGTTTTCGCTGTCAGCGCCTGACAATACCTCCTTTCACTCCTCCGCGCTGCAGCCCTTCCTTGTTGTCTGAGGTCAGCAGCAGCTCCGTGACGCCCCGCGACAACAATGCCTGGAAAGATGGGGAGGATTATGGCGGCAAACAAACAAAAGTGTGGAGGCTCCTGCTGAAATATAATCGATGGTTATTTTATTTCAAATTGGGTGAAAAGGACAAAGTCAATAAGTGCACTCCAAGCATTGGTCAAATAATGTACAATTTGCTTTCTTACCTCCTTGATGAAAGGCATGTACTCTCCATCTTTGGCGTAGGAGCCATACTCATTCTCCACTTGAACTGCGATAATCGGGCCGCCCTCGGAGTACTATACATTGATCATGCCAGTAGAGGACACGCGTTAGGACCCGGCATTAGTTCTCGACCGAGTTTTAACAACACTGTGAAATGGAAATCAAAGATGACGATCGGAGCTAATGAAATGAAATGACGGCTCTAATGTAATCAAGCGTGCATTGCCATCTATGGCGAACATAGCGGACGCAGCAGCTAATTAATGCCCTTTTTTATCATCAAAATCTTTTACTTGTTCTAATGTTTACATCAAGGTAAAAGTTTGTGCTGAAATGGAAACGTACCTGAAGTGGAACAACCCTCTTAATGACTTGATTAAAGAAGGAGTCGACGGCATCGGTGAAGCTCGGGTAGGTTGTTCTCAGTTTCATGTCTGGATCCCGTAGTAGCCAGCTGAAAAGACATTTACAGCAAAACCTTTTAACGGTCCGAAAAGCACCGTATCACCGAGGGTTACTCGAAGTGCCGTGCCGTGGGCTCTCTTTGTTTTTTTTTTGTTTTTTTAGCTCTGGATGATAATCACACCAACCTGAGCATGACTATCGTAAAGTGCAGTGCGGAGGAAGTCATGCCTCACTGCGGGGCCCTAAAACACCCGGCTTGGATGATTATCAAACAAATGTTACCTCATTGCCCGAAGGCAGAACGACTCCAGAAATACCCCCCCCCCCCCCTCACATTCACCGCATTATTCCGTTCTGATTACAGAACGAAACGAATTCATCATTTCAGGGAGCGAAGCCGGTCATATACAATTACTCTTCTCTCTTATGCCTCTCTGAAAGTACAGTAAATCACCGGGGAATGTCATCTGAGTAACATCAGAGGTCCTTTGCATAATGCATGACGGCGAGGTGCGAGGTGGACCGCTCTCAGCGGGACACGCTCTCTGTTGCACAGTAGCAACACCTCTGAGGTGAAGACAGAGACGGCACACTTGGAATAATTCACATCACTAAATGACTTGGAGGGGTTTATTTGATTTAGCCTTGAAGCGAAGATAGCGCTAACAAAGAAAGATTACCCGACGGAACAATTCCATGGATTAACATGTTCTGAAATGAAGCTCCGCAATGGCAAAAAACGAAACATCCACACACACGAGAGTGACGTTTACCTGGGTAGTCCCCCTAAATCCCACTCGCCACAGATGTACGGCCCCGGACGCAGGATGACCCAGAGGCCCAAGCGGCCCGCGAGTCGGAGGTAAGCTCTGTGGGAGAAGGATGCACAGGTTTGTGTCAATGACGCGTCTTTACCATCGATTCGGTCCATTTAAAAGTGTCACTACAGCAGGTAATGAGTCGGGACTGGGAGTCATTCTCAGCTAAATCACACGTTCAATTGGCAAATGGCACGTCATTCATCGGAGGATAGTCCACTCAAATCCATTTCTCCAGCACTGGACGTAGCGGCGAGCACACACCTGATGGCTCAACGGCGTCTTACCAATGGATCTAGAGGCAACGATAACGATCGAGTTTGCGGCTAATTAATCCCGACCGCTTCTTTCCGGGGAAAACCTACACCCTCTCAGCGGTATCAGAGCATTGAGGAGCGCGGAAGAGTCGGCAGCGCAACATTGCCATCTGCAGGGTGTCTCACGAGTTCCTCCCCTCATCATTGCTTACTCTAAATCGAGCTGGTCCTCAAAGTCGAAGACCCCTCGCTCGGGCTCATGCAGGTTCCACGGCACATAACTAAAGAGAAAAACAGATGTTGTGTGTGCCGTTAGTGATGATGAGGATTTTTAAGACTGTATTTTATTCTCCTAAAAATCCCTCTGATTGTATTTTATCTAAACATCTGTTCTGCCGTCAGAGTGTCTTCATCCAGCCGTGTCGCATCGGGGGCCTACGTGGTGAGGGTGTTGAGGCCACAGGCCTTCATCTTCAGCAGCCGGTCCTCCCAGTAGGCTCGGGGGACACGGAAGTAGTGGATGGAGCCCCCCAGGATGCGGAAGGGTTCTCCCCCCAGAGTGAACTGAGAGGAGTTGGCCCTCAAACCGTCCACGCGGCTCATTCTTCTCGCTGCGAGGCGATTCCTACGGGAGGGGGACAAAGTACAGTTCGCCGGAGAAATGACTCGGTCAACTACTGCGAATGGATTGAAGGCCACGGAGACATTTGAGACATAGTTCCACCGGGTCATGGGAGGCCGGCACGGAGAACAAAAATGCCCTCGGGCAAAACATCAGAGCCCAGTTTCAGCTGATCAGAAAACTGGATTCACTGCATTGGAATGTCCTCGCAGCAGAAGGACCCGGGAATGAGGAACAAAATCCTTTGATTTTGACCACAAAGGAACAAAGGAGATATCCTCTACATGTATATGTACATAAATCAGCACTAAAAAGGATTTGCAGAGTGAAGTCGGGTGAAGTGTTGCGTTGACATCACGTTCAATGTCCGCAATCCAGGTGAGCCAGGTAAAAGTTCATAGGCAACTTGGTTTACATAACCCGCAACTTCAGAATGTAATTAAACACTCAAAATAACCGCGCAAATCCAGAGGGATGAACGCAATATTTACATTTGTAAAGTTTCTATTTGCTTCATTATTATTCATTAATAATAACGCTTGTTTATTCCTGGTTTACGCCGGTGTTCAACCTCCCTTTGGCTCGTGCAAGCTGCGTGTGTTTGCCTTACCTTGAGAAGTGAACGATTATTGCCCCGACAGCAAAACACAGCAGCACCGAATACCTCTGCTTCAGGGACAGACGAAGCCCAACCATCGAGCCTCCGTGGCAAGAACTCTACTTACGTTCCACTTGCTTTTCTTATTTAAAGTATATAAATTTCACCGGGAGAATATAGTCCTCTCGTGCGGGTATATCTCTTGACATCGAGGCAAACAGCAAAAAAGAATATAAAAGTGGAGCTACCCCATATTATTGTTCAAAAAAGGGCAGGTTGTTCGTAACGTTTCTTATAATTAGATACATTTAAACACGCACAATGAAAAATCTAACTTAGTTGCACATAGTGTCAGAGCCAGTGTGTCCTACCTACCCAGTATTTGACATCCGGGGAATCTGGCGTTAGTTTTACTGATGTAGGACACAAACGATTCCGGTGTTGGAAGTAAGGGGCCGTCGCACAATTACACCGCTGGAAAAACGCAGAAAGTGAAAACTCCTAAAACCTTCTTTCTTCTTCTTTTCAAAAAGAAAAATGATCGATTGCTTCAGCAAACTACTAAACGTGTTCTCTTTATATCTTATTATTCTAATGAATCAGTGTCTGTCTTTGTCTTGCATTTGTTGGCAGCAGGAGTCTCCTTTGCATTACAGTTCTCCAGATGCTTTCTAATGAGGGAAGAAAATGCATTAAGTCTTGAATGTTTTTTTCTCTCTGTGTTGATCAGTCTATTCTTCTTCATTAAACATCACTTAAATCCTTCCTCCTCTTATTCATTGTCAGCTCCCAACATCCCTGGTGCACAATTAGCTTAAACTGTGATTCATGATTAGGATAGAGGAATCTACCGCATACAATTTAAATGTTTTTTGTCTGCAATTAGTTATGCTGCTCATTGTCCTGTGGTATGGAGTTTTCATCTAATCAATGACCATTAAATGTTGATGTGCTCTCAGAAGAAAGGAAAAAAAATAAACACTCCTTCTATGTACTAATTGGGGAAGAGAAGACATGACACACACGCATGCTTTTACATACTGACTTGTTAGAATCAGAATCGGCATGCATGGAATTTGACTCTTTTTTTCTGTTCTCTATATACATTTTGTTTACAAATAAACAAGAAAAATACCAAAAGATAAAACAGTGAGCTGGGAGTGACCACAGTTGCCTAATCTTAAACTCTAATAACATGTTAACCCACTGCAGGGTATCAGCTCATTCATATCACGAGACCAACATTATTGTGACGCTTCCCTTTTTTGACTGAGCGAGAGAGAGAGACAGAGACAGAGATTGAGAGAGACAGTGCACCATTATATTCTTTTGTTCTGAAAGAACAATAGTTTCCCTTATCCACACAGTTTGAGGCCTCCCAGCATCGTCCTCTCTCCATATGCTCCCAGGCAAGCTCAGCTTCATGGTACCGCAATACTTTTGATGTAATTGAGATTTCCTTCATTACTCTACATTTGGGGATTTCAAGTCCTGATAAGTAAGTATGTACTTTTTGCCATTTGTGTTCCAAACATGTTCAATATACACAGATGGCTCATTTGTAGTTTGTAAGGTTTTATTACAGGAGCACTTTTGAATTATATTATCTTGAGTGTGCCGCTTGGCGTTTTCCATTTTATTTGACCTTGACACTTTTTCCCCATCAGAAGAGAGAAGAATGAGCCGCGGGGACGGTTTAAGAGCCAACTCCTCTCAGTTCACTCTGGGGGGAGAACCCTTCCGCATCCTGGGGGGCTCCATCCACTACTTCCGTGTCCCCCGAGCCTACTGGGAGGACCGGCTGCTGAAGATGAAGGCCTGTGGCCTCAACACCCTCACCACGTAGGCTCCCACTCCACCTCGACACACGATTGTCACTCTTCCGTGACTGTTGCTTCTAACCTACAAGTAATTGCTCTCTGTTTGCTTCTTCAGATACGTGCCATGGAATCTGCATGAGCCTCAGAGAGGAACCTTCAACTTTCAGGATCAGCTTGACCTAACGTGAGGCTTTTATGTTATGCTCTTTTTAGATTTACGCAGGAAATGGTGCAGAAGGTGTACCTGCCTTTTTTCAGGGCCTACTTCACTTTAGCAGCCCAGCTGGGTCTGTGGGTGATCCTGCGTCCTGGACCTTACATCTGCGCTGAATGGGACTTGGGCGGGTTGCCAAGGTAACACGATTGACCCCCTTGCTTTGCCATATTGCCATAAATGAGCAGTATTGAGGAAGTTTGTGTTTATTTCAGCTGGTTGTTACAAGATAAAGGTATGCGGTTGAGGACTACTTATCCTGGGTTTGTGGATGCTGTCAATCTCTACTTTGACAAGCTTGTTGCCGTTATCAAACCTCTGATGGTAAGTCAAACTCAAAGCTGTGTTATTGTATTTCCTGGAAGAATAATTGGGGATTCAGAGGGACCAAAATAATATATTTCCTTTTTTTTTTTTTATACACAGTTTCGAGAGGGAGGCCCCGTCATCGCGGTTCAGGTCGAGAATGAGTACGGTTCATATGCCAAAGATGTCAAGTACATGCCGCTGATACAGAATGTGAGTCACTAATGCATTGAAGTGATTACATGTAACTGACAGTTATATTATAATGAATATAATTCAGATATTTTTTCTGCAGCTCCTCCAGTCCAGAGGGATCAAAGAGCTTCTGCTAACTTCTGACAACTGGGAGGGCCTGAGTTACGCAGCGATGGAGGGAGGTGATGGAGATGACGAACATGTTTTATAATTAATGCCTAAATGTAGTTTTGAAGACTGCTGTTCACACAGTGTCATGTTTGTCATTGTTTGACCTCCTAATCCTGGTTTATTTTAGTTCTAAAAACGATAAACCTTCAGAGACTGTCCTTCGGAGCTATTCAGCGCCTAGCTGACATGCAGGTAGGTGATTTGTAATGAGAAGCCTCAGTAGCGGAGAAAATTTGTTTTTTCTACCTTTGCATAAAATGCTGTTATATTGAGTAAAAGAGCACCGGATAAAAGCTCAGCAGAATAAAAGGAAGGCTTAATTTCTCATTGAGGTCTTGCTTCTGCCCACACGGACCACATGACGTGTATTAATGCAGACGTGTGCTCTGTCTCACGTAGCCCCAGAAACCCTTAATGGTGATGGAGTATTGGTCGGGCTGGTTTGACGTCTGGGGAGGACGTCACCACGTGTTCCACTCCGAGGGTACAGAAACGCTTTCTTAGTAGCATTTTTTCAGTGAACCTTCCTCCTGAGCGCATGCTCTAATTCGGCATTGGCGTGCATTCCATTCGTTCTATTAAACACTTACCAGTTTCACGATGGAAAATATCCATTTTCAGACATTCAACATTCATCGTCACTGTTGAGCCATCGGGTTCGAGGGCGCTGCAAGCCGCCGAGAAGATCCTTCCTGCCTGACTGAACCTCTATGGCTCGCTTTGTGTGCTATGACATCCTTCCCTGTGGTTTACAGACATGCTGCCTGTTGTGTCCGAGCTCCTGACGAGAGGCGTCTCCATCAATCTGTACATGTTTCATGGGGGAACCAGCTTTGGCTTCATGAATGGAGCAATGGACGTTGACACCTACAAACCTCAGGTCACCAGTTACGGTGAATAAAAAAAAGGACATTTGAATTAGAATTCTCTAATTCCCCTGCACAGATGCGTCACTTCTTACTGTTAATAACCGCTTTCCATGCAGATTACGACGCTCCACTTTCTGAGGCTGGAGATTGCACCGTGAAATATCGACTCTTGAGGAATTTACTCAGCCAGTTCCACTGTAATGTATTTTTAATCATGCACGTGCATTGATTTCATTACAAATTTCATTCAAAAATATACGCCCAACAATTGATTTTCTGACACCGAGGAAATCCTTGTTTACGCGAATTAAAAGGCTATTATGGCAACTCGCGTTCCAGCGGAGCCTCTTCCCGTGGAGCCCGTTCCCCAGGAGAGGAGAGCATACGAGCCTGCAGCCATCCAGCAGCACCTGTCACTGTGGGACAGCCTGCCCTTCACCGACAAGGTAAGCTACAGCCCACCCCCTCACAATCCCCCGGCCCCCCTCTGTCAACACTGACAGTTGAGAAATAGAATGAAAAATGCTTTATCCACCCTGTCAAATACATGTGGACGTGTCCCCTCTGGGAAGTCGGCAGAATGTGAGATGCGGCGAGCTTCAGATGGACAGAACATCTCTGTTGTGAGCTCGTGTGGTCTCCACTTGTGTAGAGAGCAGTGTCAACACATGCGCCTGAAGTATCCGTCATACGCTGTGCAGCGTCATGCATACATATCTTGCATGATTTTGTTCTGCACGTTGACTTTGAATCCCAGCTGCGATCACATCTTTCCCCACCTGTCCCGGATGCAGGTTTTAGGAGTATAGTTGGACTTTTTCATCCAGCCCGACGGATCAGTGCTGGCGGTCGCTATGCTTCTGTGCTGTCTTGTTTGTTAGCTCCTGAAAGTCATCTTACCCCCGACTCAGAGCTAACCGAGGGCCCATATGTCCATATCGTTCCAGAGATACTGTTATCATACACTCCTTAGACTTTGTCTTGAAAACAGCAGGACGGCGCAATATCCACTTACCAGACCGCCATTGTCACAGAATCTGCGAAACTAATTAAGCAACGTTGGCAGCCCGTTGTTGAGAGATTAAATTACATAGCCGATTAGCCAGGTGGATAGATTGAAAAATATACAGTTCATTTTGGAGTATCTACGGGTGCTGGGACAGGATTAAGAGGAATTTACTACAAAATGGGATTCTGTATTCATTACATGTGTAGAAATATCTGTCACAGTTTTAATTCAACATGACGTACGTAGACACGTTTCGGCATGTCTCATTTTGTTCACTCTTTACTAAATAGCTTTCACGTCTTTTGTGCATTGAAGGGAGAGGTCACCTTGAGCCTGCTTGTGGAGAACTGTGGAAGAGTGAATTATGGAAAAGCCCTCGATGAACAGCGCAAAGGTGCCTTCAAGCATAAGTGTCCTCCATCGGGTCTCTTGACCTGTTTTTTGAATCATTCACACCGTAACTCTTCATATTATCATTCATTTTCCCACCTGAATCAACGAGTCAAATTGCTGCCAATGTGTAACACTACTGACTCCATCTGTTGGGTGGTCCACCACCAAACCTCATGTTGTATTACAGGCATTGTGGGAGACATTCTGTTGAATCACACCCCACTGATAGGATTTACCATCTTCTGTCTGGATATGAAGCCAGGCTTTGTGAACAGGTTGGTTATCTGGATTTACAATAGGTAAAGATGACTGGACGAATTGACCTCTTCATGAGGATAATAGGAAAGCAGTTAATGCATTTACTGGTAAAAAAAAATAGCCCCCTGAAAATGGTGATAAATCACAAAACAGATCAAATTACAACATTAAATCCTGACAGATTAAGTTAATACACAAATAACTGCTAAACTAATTTTGGCTAATAATTTCTGTGATTACAGTGAGGGTTTTTAATAAATGTTTGATCTTTTTTTAGTTTAATGCATTCAGGTCAGTGGAAGTCTGACTTCAAGTCGCCATCGATTCCAGGATTCTTCCGGGCCAGGCTGTATGTAGATGGTCCTCCCAGAGACACCTTCCTCCGACTCCCTGTATGTAACCCTTTACATCCACCTATTATGGCTAGAGAATTTCTAATAGCGATTTACTATTTCCATTTGTAATACAGTAACTCGCATTTGTGTTTAACACAATAATATATCATGATATATATATATAGATATATATTTTACTGTCGATAACAGGTATTTTATTACAGATTGGAAAACAAGCAGTCCATGTGGTGCCTTTACTGATCATACGGGGCTTTCCCGTCATAGGGTTGGGGTAAAGGAGTCGTGTTTGTCAATGGGAAGAACCTCGGACGTCATTGGTGCATCGGTCCTCAGCTCTTCCTTTATCTCCCAGGACCATGGCTGAGAAGTGGAGAGAACCAGGTATTCCGTTGTAATGTGCAAGTCTATGAATGATATATGTACGGCATACGAAGGCCATCTCTGCTTGTTATTCTTCCCTATATAAAGGGTGGCAGATTATGTGTGTATAATATGGTGAAAATTATCTTCAATTTTCTCTTTTAGATAATTGTTTTTGAGGAACAACAAGTGGATGACAAAATACAGTTTGCTGAAAATCCTGATCATGGAAGGACAATTGATGTTTACAAACTCCCCTTTTGCACACTGCTGTGAAGATTATGTCAACAACAACACAAGCAGTTTGATGCACACACATTGGGTTCATTGATTCTCATAATATTTAAAGCTATCAATTCACTAATCATATTTTAAAAGGCTAAAGCATGTAAAAATGTGACATGTTGTCATTGATGCAATTGATTCTGCTGCTTTCAGCAATGTAACCACGTTTTAAAATAAACTATTTCTGATTCTGTTGGATTTTAATTGTTTTTTTATTTCAGTTGTAGCTTTAGATTACAAAACATTTCTCAATTCTCTTTTAAATTTGTGTGTGCACAAAAACCTTCTTGAAATAGTTAAAAACCTCACCTTAAAGACCGTTTGATGACATGGTGGGCCCATATCGTTGCGATTTTTACTATTTATATTATACATTATTTCTGTGTAACTGAAGGAAGTTCACTTGTTTACTACTTATTAATAATACCGAGCAGTGCCGTCTTTGGCAAAGATGACTTAGTTTTGTCCCTTACCTTGCGCCTTACATAAGACTCCTTTCCTGGTCCTGAACTGTGCATTATCAAATTCACAACTTTACCAGAAACAAAGCGCGGAAACAGGAAACAAAGTTACTCCTCTCCTTCACAATAAAGGCTCACTTTTTCGTAATGGGCGACGTTGACGCATCTATATCAATCAACATAAATACTTAGCTTTGATTCATTATATGAATACAGGTGAATATAGCTGTGCATTTAGTTGTTATGAAAGGATCGTGCATTAAAATTAGTTTATTCTGAAAATACAATCCGGATGTTCAAATTGTAGCTCTAGCTAGCTTGACCCGTAAATATATCCGCTCGCTGGTGTTCGTTCGTCCGCACAGCAATTTCAGGAAGAGGACTCGGGCACTTCAACTTCAACAGAAGAACAGAACACATTCTTCCGACAGTATTTCATCGCTAACTTCATGTTAGCTCGTTATTTTACGGCGACACGCCGCGGTTACTAGAGACTATTGGAAATGCGGTCATAGCGCTGGTGCAGCTCCACCGTGCTTTAGCCTTATAGCACGGCTGATCTGCTGAACTGGACCAGTCAAGACCAGGTTCGGGTATTTTTCATTTGAGCCGGGTATTTTTTTTAATAAGGTGTGCCTCCGCCTTCCCCCGGCATGGAGCCGTTGGGATCCCTCCTCGGATGCTCCGCGGCCGTCGCGATGGGTGTCCTGGTGTTCTCCGCCTACAAACTCGGCGTTCTCTACCAGTTGTTCCACAAGGTAACGTTAGGTCGTCACCACTCAACACGGCCGTTACAAACAGACCCCCCCCTCGTTTAAACGCGCCTGCATTACCTGGCTCAGTGACACACCTGTGCGGTGACAGGAGGCTGTCACAGGTGAAAGGTAAGAAGGCCTCTGTTCGCGTGGACGTTGACCGGCCTTGTGGCTTTCTGGCACAAAGGTTATCACAACACCAAGGTGCTGGTTGGATTGCACAAAGACCTCTTCACCTTTGTCGTCCACCACAATACGTGGTTGTTGCGAAAGAGAGGCGGAGGGATGAGATAACTGACAGGTGACCTCTGCGGGGGTTATCAACTCGCACAGTTGTCTTGCTTCTCTCCTCTATGTTACATGTTGGTAAATCAGAACTTCCTTCCTTCCTTCTTCCCTGACTTGACTCACATTTGGCCCCCTTGACTCGCTTCCTTCAGACCGAGACGAACAGCCCGAGACACGGCGGCGAGAGCGTGGCGGCGGTCCTCCGCGCCCACGGGGTCAAGTACGTTTTCACGCTGGTCGGCGGGCACATCTCTCCCATCCTGGTGGCTTGTGAGAAGGTGGGCATCCGCGTGGTGGACACGAGGCACGAGGCCACCGCCGTCTTCGCCGCCGACGCTGTGGCGAGACTCTCGGGTGCGGCTTCGCGTTGGATACACGCACGGCTTACTCTGGGCTTCTGGTTCCCTCCGTGACCTTGTGCGTTTCCCTCCCCCCTCCAGGCACGGTCGGCGTGGCGGCGGTGACCGCCGGCCCAGGCCTCACCAACACGGTGACGGCCGTGAAGAACGCACAGATGGCCGAATCTCCATTGCTGCTCATAGGAGGAGCCGCGGGGACGCTACTTCAGGTATGGCGGTCCTATAGGACGGGTTAGACCTCACCCTGGCACCTTTCTCCACCTCGGCGTCTCAACGTCATTCCGTCAACTGTGCTTGTGTGACAGGGGAGAGGAGCGCTGCAGGACATCGACCAGATGTCCCTCTTCAAGCCGCTGTGTAAGTTCTGCGCCTCCATCAGGACCATCAGGGAGATCGTGCCTACCGTCAGGAAAGCCCTGGCCGTGGCCCAGTCGGGGACCCCCGGTCCGGTTTTCATCGAGTTCCCCATCGACACGCTCTACGCCTTCCATCTGGTGTCCAAAGAGTTTGGAGTCAAGAACCCTCCCAAAGGCCTGATGGGCAAGGTCGTCTCGTGGTACGTCGACGCGCCCTCTAAACACGGCACAATATGACACGCACCCAGTATGTACGCGTTAACATACATACTTGGACCAGGAGCTCGTGGTTTAGGACACAACTTCTAGTCGTTTGTGAGAGTCTGACCTGCATCTTTCCTACAACCTGAAGCAGTTTTGCTTTTCTCTCTCCCGTCAGCCCCCCTTGACTCTTTCAAATAAAGGCAACAATTCAATACCGCACGCTAAATGATTTCACGCCGCGATGTGATTTCTTGTAAGGTACCTCAATAACCACCTCATGAACGTCTTCGCTGGAGCCTGGGAGACCAGAGATGTGTCTCCGCTGCCCGTTGACATCCCGCAGGCCACCGACCACCAGGTGCGTCCCCGTCCACCACATTACGACGACTCGGCCAGAGTTGCACATTTTCCGTTTTGGATTTTTTATTTTTTCATTCAAAACAATTCAGGTGCAGAAGTGCATCGAGCTGGTCAGTCGAGCCAAGAAGCCTGTCATTCTGCTCGGTAGCCAAGCAACTCTACCTCCGACCCCCGCCGACGACATTAGGTAATGTCGCCCCCACCCCCTTCTACTTCTCCGCCCCGCGTCACTCAAATGATGTTGCTTTCATGTGACTTTTTTTCGTTGTTGTTCTCCTGCATTATAGGAAGACATTGGAGGACTTGGGCATTCCCTGCTTTCTGGGAGGAATGTCCCGCGGCCTGCTGGGTAAAGACAGCCCCATCCACATCCGACAGAACCGGCGAGACGCCCTGAAGGAGGCCGACGTGGTGCTGCTGGCAGGTCAGGCCTTCAGTTTTGCAGTTTAAAGCCTATAATGTAGCTTTTTAAAATCAGATTACCCAGCGATCAAAACGTAACATGGGATAAAAGGCAGTGGATATTTGTTAAGTAACTGAACATGAATATGAATTTATTACTCCAGGTTGGAGGTTAAACTGCATTCAAAGCCAGTAGAGCTCCGGGCTCTGAAATTGAACACTGCGTTGTGTTCACAGGCACTGTGTGTGACTTCCGCCTGAGCTACGGCAGTGTTCTTAACAGACGCAGTAAGATCATCGCCATCAACAGAGACCGGACGCAGCTGCTGAAAAACTCTGATATGTTCTGGAAACCGACAGTAGCGATTCAGGGTGTGTTCACCGCGCGCCGTCAGGAGGCAGGATGATTAAAGTAACCATGTGTCAACAGCATGCGGGATGTATATTGTTCCGATGATTCTTCCACATGGGCTGGATCACAGGGTGCATGTACACCAGTCAAACGGGCAGAATCAATGTGTTCGTGGCTTCGTTTTTAGGTGACGCTGGTTCATTCTTAGTACGGCTATCCAAAGGCCTGAAGGGCCACCGCTGTCCAGAGGAATGGCCTCAGAGGCTCAAAGCAGGAGATGTCACCAAAGAAAATGTGAACAGGTGAGCAGAGGGGGAGATCTGTCCGTATACATTGTAAAAACATCTGTTCAAATTTAAAAAAAAAAATGTCCTGAATAGAAAACTTGAAAACACAATCGTATCAGTTATTACAACGTGAAAGCAGCTACAATCGTGTAACTAAAAAATGTGTTCAAAGTCGTATAAATAACCGTTTTTTTATTTTCTCAGGGCCAAAGCTGAAGAGAAGACGGAACATCACTTGAATCCCTTGAAGGTCCTCCATCGCGTGGACGAGCTGATGGCTGAGGACAGCATCATCGTCGCCGACGGGGGGGACTTCGTCGGGAGTGCTGCTTACATAATGAGGCCGAGAGGGCCGATGCGTTGGCTCGATCCAGGTTTGCTCTCGTAGCTCAAGCAGCAAAGTTGCTGTTGGGATGTGTATCAGGGAAACGTGTCCGGAGGTCAACCCCTGCTGTGTGTTGGGCCCTCAGGAGCCTTCGGGACCTTGGGGGTCGGAGGAGGATTCGCTCTGGGGGCGAAGCTGTGCCGGCCGGAGTCCGAGGTAAAGCCTTGATTCAGGCCTTTCTGAAAGTGTGCTCATCTTTCGATGCGCACTGCTGTATGAATGAAATTGCACACTTCTGCGCCGTTGAGGTTTGGATAGTGTACGGCGACGGCTCTCTGGGGTACAGCGTGGCAGAGTTCGACACTTTCACCCGACACAAGGTAAAGTCACCAAAACCAGTATCTTCCTTATCCGCATGTAAGCTACTCTGCTATTTACACAAATATGCAATAGTCGAATGAATACTGCGAAAACAGGCTTGTATTAGTAATCTATATTAAATAATATATATAATACCTAACAGGGAGAGCGAGCGATAAAGAGCCACTTTTTTGTTAAGCTCCACATTTCCCTCTCCCCCCCCCCCCCCCCCCAGACCCCCGTTATATGCGTGGTGGGAAATGACGCATGCTGGAGTCAGATATCCAGAGAGCAGGTTCCCATACTCGGCAGCAACGTGGCGTGCGGCCTCGCGTTCACAGGTGTGTTTCTTGTTGGATATATTTTGTCTCTGTCCCGCATTGTGAACAAAAACCATTCGTGTACGACTAACTGGACCGCAGTTTACGGGGAGATCTGATCTTGTCCTTTTTCGCAGATTATCACGTAGTGGCGGACGGTTACGGCGGAAAGGGCTACCTCGTCCGGCGCGAGGACGAAGACCGGCTAAGTGACATCATCCGAGAAGCTCAGAGGGAAACCCAGGAGGGCAAGGCTACACTTCTCAATGTCCTGATAGGGAAGACCAACTTCAGAGAGGGCTCCATCTCTGTATGAGGCAGCTGTGGTGTCTTTAAACTTTAAACCCCTTTTGCCTCTTGGCTTCATATTTACTAGGAATGCGGCTCTATGCAGGGTTTCAGAGAGTAGGGAGATACCGCTGGATGCCGTGTAGACTACGCCTAAGCTAATCCTTTGTGCCCTTAACGCCATATTTCTCCTTGGTGAGAGGAAATGAATTTCCGGTTTGACGATCTTTTTTTAGAAGTTTATGAGCCGTCAGTTGCAAAATTGCCCTACTTCCCTGTTGAGACTGGTTAAGACGCGTGGAAACACCGGCGTCATGACAAATGTCAGAGGGTGACTGCTTGTTAACCTGCAGGTTCAATCAGTTCCTCTTAAGTGAAACACTACAGCTCGAGCTCTGCCAGCCCAGAAACTAAGTCTTTGGTTGTGCATCATGCAACTTTCAGGTTCATGTCCTTTTCTGATTGATGCATTTTAAGAAGGGAAGGAGTAATAATGGCGCTTTGTTAAGGGGCCGTACCTCTTCAGGAGCTTGGGGTTAAACTCCTGACGTTTAAACAGCCTATTATAGCTGTCTTGCAAATAAACCTGTGAATGAAACCATTTGTGCGGGAGAGCGTTGGTTTACGTCATCAAATGCAACCAGTATGCCTTTTCTGCTGTTACCAAACGAACATGGAGTCTTTTTACGAGACATGAAACCTCAAGGCTGTAAAACTCTGTACCGCTTGATGATTTGGAATAAAAAAAGTTCAATGGAAAGTATTTTTAGAATGTTGGAGACTGACAAATGGTATGCCTTTTAATGTTTGATTACATTGATGTGTGTGGATTGAAAATGTGTCTGCTGATTCAGATATGTATTTAATTTTTTTTCTAATACTAACCTGCATTGATGTGGGTTATCAAGTCAAACACACCTCAACACAATATATATGCACTGTAATTATGACCTATTTCCTCACCAAGTGAATATGTGTGGGTCATCTCAATCCAATAAATATTGGTGTTTTATTTGGTATTTATCAAACCGTTCAACCTAAATGTTAATTTGGGTTCATTATCAAATAAATTGAAAAAAATCAAGTGGGTGATGAGTGGGTCTGGAAATACTTTTGTGACCCAACAGAGTCATCTGTGATTAGACTTGCTACTTGGTGCAAAAAAGGCAATATAGATATATTTATACTGAAATGTGTACATCCAATGAAGTAGGACCCGACCTGTAATATTTGGGAACACTCCATAGTATAGTAAATGATCTAAGCCACCCCCACCTGTACAAATATTTACCCACACAGATTCAGGTAAAATATTCCATGTACGATTCAAATATATTCAATTACAGTATTTGGTTTGTGGGGTCCATGAAAATGTGTTCAGCTGGGTTTACTGATGAGGCCCTCGTATTATATATTTTGGTACCATCTCCACATCAGGAGCATTATCATATTTGTATTTGGTATGAAGAACTAGACTAAACACTAAGTAATTTGATTGTACTGAGGGGCTGTGACTTTTTTCTCTGAATACTTCAAATGCACTTTTCATCATAGACAGCAGGTGTCAGGCTGGTGGTGGTTATCCTGAAGTAGTCTGTGCCGTTTGGAATAGCTGATGCGAATGCAAAAACCAAACTAAAACCGTGTGTATAACGAGCAAACAGGCTGTGTGAAAAAATCAGGGGAGCTTAACTGTGTTGCACAACTCTAAAAATTTTATATTATGTTAAATTAAAACATCGCTTTTAAACGCATGTAGTAGACCTTGGTCAATGATCTTTTTGCTTTTTAAAAAATAATATTGTATACGTATTGTTTCGTCACAACACCTTGAACACAGACATGTGTTAAATATGCCATTAGTAAACTGTATATTAGAAAGAGAGAAGTGTTGCTATCGGCACAACAATTTAAAACAGTTATTGATGTTTAGAACAGCTTTTATAGACAGTATATTGCGCCACGGGCTTCATGGCTTTGCTTGACGTCCGGTTTGGCTTTGTTGCCTTCAAGTGCTCTTTGTTAATCTCCTCTCCAGGGCTATTTAAACCTATACATAAGTGTTTTCACATACATAAGACGTATATATAAACCATATACCTTCAATCGTCAGCATGTCCTATTTGGCATTGCTTGCATTCCTGTCACAGCCACGTGTCGCTCCTGTTTCTAAGTAATACCCTCTTTATTGACTGTCTGAGTTTGCAGTGACGCGTCAGCTTTTTTGCCTTCCAACCGAGACAAAACTCACACACACACGCTGCAGCACCTGAACGCATCACAACAGGCGGCGACTCCGACAGACGCACAACTTAAACGCAGGCGGCTGAGGGCTTTAACCGGCGTGTACCGGTTAACTACCAGACGTCTTTTCAGCTACAGAAAACACACATGCTTCTGTAATTACCACGTCCTCAGAATGACTCGTTCAACGGAGGCAGTTTCGGGCTCTTGACGACCTCGGAGATAACGTTAGCTTAACTTAAATTAGCTTAAAGCAAACGGTAGGCTCGCGCTGGTTAACGTTCGTTTGGGGGTTTCTTTGTCCGTCACACTTTGGTGATTCAGAAGCCCGCTAACGGTTTTTGTTGTTTGTTTTTTTTAAATCACCGGGACAGTTTGGATTAATGCCATCGGAAGCCCAAAGGACGCCAGTGAAGTCGACGTCCACGCGTTATAACGTGGCTCTTTTGTCGACTTCACGTTCGTTCTCACCGAACAGGAGTTCTACTCGACCGGACCGTAACGCAGCCTCACCTCCACCAAGGTAAGCCACGTTAACGGGGACGTTTATGAACCACTTGCATGTATTCTGTCATCTGTAACCGGTAAGGGCTTTTGTGTGTGTGTGTGTGTGTGTGTGTGTGTGTGTTACTTTTTAAAAAGTGTACCGGTGTGCTCGCGGTAACTTTTCGCCGCTTCCTGTTGTTGCCATCGACTTTAATTACAGCGTTATATGTTATAAACGCCTTAAAGACACACGAGCCAACGTCGCTTTCCAGCGTCACGGTTTCCAGGAACGACGTCCTCTCAGCGGCTCGCGTGTAGGAGGAGATAAGGGCACACATGTCACCGTTCTGCGAGGTGTGTTACCAGGAGGAAATTTAGGAATTACGTTAGTTTCCGGTTTCTCAAAAAAAAAAAAAAAAGAAGAAGTGATGACGGCTCTCAGGGAGACAGCTGACCGTCTCACTTCAGATGTTAACAAGAAGAGTGTCGTGTATGAAACGATACCAACACGCTGACATCGATCGGAGGAAATAAACCCACGCACGCGTCACGTTGCATTGCATTGATGCTGTGTGTGACGTCACCAAAAGGTAGAGCGTGGTTTAATCGTGTTTCTCCTGCAGGACCTGAATGGCCTCCATTGTTGCGGTGAAAAGCGAGAAGCGACCCGCGGCTGACTCTCAGGATGCAGACACAAATGCCAAAAAGCCCAGGTAGAAGAATAAAATCTTTGTTTGGGGTGCCTCGTTTTTGACAGTACAGTATCATGGAAAAGCTTGTAAATGCTTTGTTTAATACTGTGGGGTATAACTTGTAATCTTTGCGTGGCCCGAAAGGAAACTGCTACCCAGCCTGAAGACCAAGCGGGCGCCCGAGCTCGTGCTGGTGATCGGCACGGGGGTGAGCTCCGCAGTGGCCCCCCAGGTCCCCGCGCTCCGCTCCTGGAAGGGCCTCATCCAGGCCTTGCTTGACGCGGCCAATGATTTTGACCTACTAGAGGAGGAGGAGAGTCGGCGCTTCCAGAAGCACATGCAAGAAGATAAGAATTTGGTTCATGTGGCCCATGACCTCATTCAGAAACTGTCCCCCGGTAAGTCTGCCGGAGCCTTCCCCCCCCCCCCCAACCTCTGCCTTTCCTCTGTAAAGCAAACCCTTGCACATGTTCAAACATATGGCACACGGGCTGACGGCCCTTTCCTCGGGTAAGGAACATTTTGTCTTAACTTTCATGGATTGAGAGAAGACCTCTTATCTCGTTAAAAGCCTGAAGCTGATGCCGCACTGTTTGCTTGTGAGACCTTTTGTTGGGAGTGAATTCTGGTCGATACAAAATGGATCTCTTATCATACAAGTAAACAAGCCTGTTTACTTGTTTTCATCCAATGTTGTTGATAACCATAAAAACAGCCTTTTGTTGCAGGGAGACTAACTGAACCACATTAGTGTTTTCGTTATTAACTAGAAATCATACCAGGTGGTTAAATCACCGTTCTGTAGTATGGACATCCCATGAATCTAGTGCATACTTAATGAAAATGTAAATTCATACATGCAACCTATATATTCGTAATCTAATCTGTGTGTGAGTAAGACTAACACAGTGGCACAGAATGCTTTGGGCAATCAAAAAGAAGGTATTCATCCGCAGACGGCGAGGGGAACGACGCCTAATCAAAGCTGCAGCATCTCCGCTCAATGCCATCAAAGAATGTGCTGAACTAATTACTAACTACCGCCGAAAACTAGCAGAAAGTTTTTGCCACCTGACTACACAAACACACAGTGAGAGTCCTACAGCGGGTATCACCACCCATGAAAACCTGATTGCTTTTTAATGGTCCCTAACAGAAAAAAACATTTCAGTTAATGATTGAACTTCTTCACAGAACTTTGCGGCTCTAAACCAATAGCATGCAGAGAATGAAGACATTTTTCTATTTCCATATAACTCTGTTTCCTCGCCGTACCGGACCGGTCTGGACTGGACTGGTCTGGAGCTCGGCTGGCAGATGGGAGCCTTAATACAGTTTGCCTCCTGTGTTAGTCATGTCTCATCGCACCTTCGACATTGATTAAAGCGCTTTGTTTCTCCCCTCCTCCTGTTGTCGCAAAGAGAAGCGGCGCTTTTTATGGCTTTATCCAACGTGTTTATGTCCACTGCTGCTGGCTACAGGCACAGCATGCTGCGGGGGAGAAAACAAGCATTGAATAATGTCAACCCCTCCGCCCTGTTGCACAGATTTTCCATTCGGGCGGTCAAAGCGTCACCCGAACACCTAGCATGTAGTAAATTACAAAAGAGGACGCGTTTGAACTGAATCCGTTGACAAAACGCATCTGCATTTGTTCTAGAGAATTAGTCGTGACATCAATGCATATGAAAGGGTGTGAGAGACCTGCCTTCAGTCCATAGTAGTATAAAAACAAGCGGTAAAAGCCGTGGGAGTTTAACCCAGTTTTCACAGAACTGTGCATCAGATTATTTTGGTTTGCAAGGCACATAGTCTCAGGCAATGAGGCTAATCTGAAGCTAAACATCCTCCTAATCTTGACCCTGGCAATTTAAAAAAACAACAACAACCAGGCTAATAACAACGTTGCAGACTTGTTCATGCAGTCAATTCAGGCAAGAGTTCGAAACAATGTTTTCCACGGGGGTCATTGTGGTTTTGCCTTTCTGGAACAAACAACCTCTCGCTAAACACTGCGCTTCATCCGGGTCCACAGAAACACACCAGCGGCGTGATCGCTACGGTCTCATGGTCACATGACACCGGTCTACAGCCACGTTCACTGTAACAAACACCAGAGCCAGATTTTACTGTAAAAAGGCCCCCTAACAGCTGCGCGTCTGGACTGTGTAATCAGCGGTAAACTTCAGCCCAGCAGGAATGCAGCAGACGGATTCACCGTTTATTAATCCGTCAGAGTTGAAGGAAACTTGACGATATCCGTCCATGCGTCCCACCGCTGCACGCCAGCTAAAGGGACATACTGCCAAAGGATATTGTAGCAAATTTCTACATAAATGTGGGGAAAAAGATCAAGCATAGTACTCTTTGCGTCACAATATAATACATATGTACAGGTGCAGTCATTTTCAATTAACGATATTCATAAAATTTGTTTCTGAAAAATGATCTAGTCCAGACAGATTTTTTTTTTTCTAAACCAGTTGTTTACTTGCACAAGTCCTGAGAGCGAGCGGGGCGGTTGCTGCGGTCGATGCGGATAACAAGCGTCTTCCTGTTGAAACGGCTTCCGCTGTTCAGCCCATTAGAGGTGTAATCTCTGCAGGGCGATCACCTTGGTCTACACGGCGCTATTCTTAGACCTACCAGGATACTTTTGTGTTTATATTTTGGTTCAACCGGCTCTGCCAGGTAGACTAGATTTAGATGGAGAGCCCATAATCTCTTTACAGAATCAGGTGTGTGTGTGTGTGGTGACACTGCGGCTACAGCCAGCAGAGCGCTCTGACGTGAACACTCTTAACTGATGTTTTATTTCCTTGTTAAGGCCATTTTGAATTTCAGGGAGAGCAGTGAGAAAGGAAAAGGTCGATTGAAACACACCTAAATAAAGCCTGGATTACATGTTTTTTTATATATATATTAATGAGTCAGTACCCAAGGGACTGATTGGTTGATGATAATTAACTATTTTTGCTGTACTTGCTTGTTTTTTACCCTCTCCTGTTATATCAACAGGTATTATCTACTTATTACACGCCATTTTCTCCAGTTATCGTGGTAGTAAATATTCTGTGCTTCCATTGTGCGTCTAATCTTAGACAAAAACACCATCTTTCAACACGCTCATATACACGTGTTCAGCTCAGACTGGGTGATAAGTAAAACTGTTTACTCAGGTCCGACCCTTACAAAAAGACACGTGGCTTTGTGAAAGGACGCTTGATAGCGTGGTTGCAATCATTAAACAAATGCAAAGAAAATCTCATACAGCTTAGTTTACGTCAAACACTAACGTCCGTGTGTTTATTTCCTCCACGTTATAAATATATTCTGGTTAGAGTAGTTCTAATCAAGCTAAATCGTACCTCATCTTAGGTCCATTTGTGTGTTCGCATATCAGATCTGGGGACAGTGGGGATGTTCTAAAGAGATGAGTTTGGGGGAGACGGTTACCGGCTTCACCAACATTTACTGTTTATTCACCCCCCCCCCGGCGCAGTAGACCACAGTGCAGACGTCACCATAATGCATTCCGGGCCGTTTCCACGGTGCTTATCTGGCGATCGACGCTCGTGTACTTCTGTCTTTGGAGCGTGCCACGTTGTAAGTCAACAAATACCGTGAAACCCGACACTCACCACAAATCCTTTCCTTTCCTTTTTTGAACAGAGGACAGGTAACGTGCGATCCACGTTCTTCAAGGACTGTCTGTACGAGGTGTTTGACGACTTGGAGTGCAAGATGGAGCACGCCGGGAAGCATCTGCTGCGCTCGGTGCTGCAGCTGATGGAGAGCGGCGCCCTGGTCCTCACCACCAACTTTGACAACCTGCTGGAGATCTACGCGGCTCACCAGGGCACCAAGCTGGAGTCTCTGGACCTGACGGACGAGAAGAAGGTAGGCCGGGCCGGGGTTTGTGGCATCGATTTGGCCCCTAACCTCTAGGTTCTTGTTGGGAAGGACAGGCTCAGATTGTAGGAGTCTTAAAGGTCAAGTTTTATTTCATCTCGAGAGCAAAAGTCAAAGGTGAGTCAGCCGCTTGACTGTACATTTATGAAATTGCCTTTTGAGGGAAGTTCCTGTATTGTTATCAATAAATAGACAACCTGAGCCTGCTGAGTGACCGGAGGGGGGAGGCTAAAGTTCTATCCATTACTCAGCTGCAATAGAATCAACAATACTTACTTTGGATCTAAAGACTGGGCCTAAGAACTGTTTGCGTGTTCCCTTATTATATAAAGCAACACTGATCGTTTGTTAAACGGAACGGAATCTGCACGACTCGTCCCGAGTGTCTCTGAGAGACCTGCTGCTTTGCCTCTCAGTCCTGGTATTTATGCCTCGACTCCATCAGGGCTAATATCCTCTAACTGCTGTTCAGTGATTCACCTCCCAGCCCAGCCAGAACAGGATTGAGCGCAATGAACTGTTAACTAATGTGTGTGTGTGTGTGTGTGTCTCCAGGTGTTGGAGTGGGCCCAGGAGAAGCGGAGGTTAAGTGTTCTGCATATCCATGGTGTGTACACCAACCCCAGCGGGATTGTACTGCACCCTGCAGGCTACCAGAACGTCCTGAGGAACACCGAAGTCATGGTAGGCCCCCGACGCGGCGGTTTACCGGCTGACGCCCACCCGCGTCAGCGCGTTAACGTACCGTGTGCATCCGGCGCTCTCAACAGCGCGAGATCCAGAAGCTGTACGAGACCAAGTCCTTTGTGTTCCTGGGCTGCGGGCGCACGGTGGACGACACCACCTTCCAGGCGCTGTTCCTGGAGGCGGTCAAGCACAAGTCGGACCTGGAACACTTCATGCTGGTGCGGCGGGAGGACGTGGGCGAGTTCAAGAAGCTGCGGGACAACATGCTGGACAAGGGCATCAAGGTCATCTCCTATGGAGACGAGTACGCCGACCTGCCCGAGTACTTCGAGAGGCTGGCCAACGAGATCTGCAACCGCGACGTGTCCACCAACGGCTGGGGTACGCTTTCCACTTCCTCCTCTTCCACCACGTTAACCATCTGCAGCAAAACAAATCATCATGCGAACGCCATCGCGTGACGACCACCCGCAAAGTCAAGGAGCCCTCGTCGCCCACCTTAACAGATTGAGAACTAAACGTATAGGGGGGGTGGGGGTGTGCTGCCTGACTTTGACCATTCTTTCTCCACCCAGCCTCCTGCGAGTGCCCCACCCTAATGGGAGTGTAATACTAAATCGCTGGTGCGCCCCCTTAAAAATGTCTTACTGGCGGCTTCTGCTGTTCCAACCGGTGCGTCATTCTTTAGTCAAGTGTTGATTTGATGTAGGCGTATTTGAGGCATCAGTTTCGTGTCAGAAAAGGAAATGCTTAACTTCACTAGTTCTTCTTTCAGAGTCCCGCGTGTGATTTGTCTTTAACCGTCTCCTTTGTCTCTACAGGGTCTCCTTCACAAAGTGGGGAAGAACAGCCGAACGGCTTTAACACACAGAAAAGCCTCCTTCAAGGTTAGGACTCAATGCTTCTTTGATTTCAGGCAGTGGCCACTTGCAAAGGACACTTCCACGCTGTTACAATAAAAGCACCGGCAAAGGCTCTTGTTTTCTTACTGCATGCTGGTAGATCGAAAACTTTCAGTGTCAAAGCTCCTGCTGGTTTGCCTTTACAAAGACGCCGCTGACTTTGCAGTATTGCATGCATGCCAGTCATGTCAGTTTCTCAACCTCCCACTTAAGTCACCTTCCTTCTTCTTTTTGCCCCAGACCATCATTCGTGACAGGCACACAGTCGGGATCAGTAAGAGTCGTTTTCCTTCACAGCTGCACCGTGACATCAGTCTGATTTCAAATTGATGGGTTTAGGAATCTAAGGAGACCTAAAAGTTGTTTACGAGTGTCTGGTTTTTACTTGTTTCTATGACTTCCGGAGTAAAAGGGAAAGGAGAAGTTTAACAGTAACCGTCAAGGCCATAAAAAGAAAAAAACAACCTCACAGCGCCGCTGCAGTGAACGTTTGGAATACTCCGATGGATAAATGAGTCCAGACAGACACGACGGCGCCGCGTCGATTCATTTTGATTTCATTTCAAACATCACCTCGACCTACCCGCCGCACAGAGGAGGCCTTTTCTCGAGTTGACACCTGGCGCCGCCTTGACCTGCAGCCAGTAGAACTGGACTTGGGAACTGGGACGGACGTTACTCGGTTGGCTTTCATCGCCAACGTCTCTCAGCCAGCATCACTCTGCCACTCCTTTGCTGAATATGTTCTTTGTAAGCCTTTTTTTAATACTTGCATGTATTTTCTGACATAGTATTTATAAGTACTATTTTCAAAATAAAGCTTTTGATAACCCATTTGTCTGGTTTAACGTGTCACTAACAGAACAAGTTCCACTCTACAGGCTGTTGCAGCTTTATTTAGAAAGGTTTACATTCTCATAAATTAGCTCAATTCTCCCGTTTTAACTCTTGATTCTTTCATATTGCGCTACCACAAATGAAAGGGGGGGCAGGAGACATTTAAGACTTCCTAGTTCCTCTTACAAATGAAGAGTGAATTACAGGGGTAAGCATAAATAAAAAGGCCCACAGAACCTCAACAAACCACATGGGCCGTGCAGTCTGAAACTAAAAAGATTTACATAATGTCTCCCGTTTCTCCTCAACTAAAAACTGAAGAATCAGTCTGCATTTTTTTATGAGTTGTGTTAGGTAGGCGAGGAGCTCTGGGAGAGAAGGTTTGTAGGTCAAACCGGAGTTAGCGTTGTGTTAGTAGAGGTAAACAGATTCGGACTCCTCGTGTTGGTGACTACTGGAGACAAATAGGCACTACGGTCACTAAGCTACCCCCGGGTCCCATCGGGCAAACCTTCACCACCTGACCTCACTGACACGGAGAGGAAACTGACAGAATGCCAGGTAGGGAGGCGGATTTCTTTTTCCAAGTCTTTACTGTACTGCACCAGTGACGTGATGAGATGTACAGCCTACGTCCACTTAGTCAGCTGAAATGCACATCTGGATGCGACTGATGTGAGGTCGAGAAATTAACTTTTCATCATTCAAAGTACACGCTAGTCCTTTACGGTGGGGAATAAAGTCGGCGGGAGAGGACGAGGGAGAAGGCAGGTGGGCGGGGCTGGAACATCTCACGGCAGGAGAGTTTTTTTTCAGGCCTTCATCAGGGCGCTGACCACGGCGCGGGCGTTGAGGCTACGCAGGTCGTTGTAGGTCTGCCCCGTGCCCACAAACACGATGGGCTGTCCGGTGATGTAAGTCATGGAGATGGCAGCGCCGACCTGTGGGGGGGGGAGGACGCACGGCGTACGAGTGTGAGGGAATTATTATTCATTTAAAAAAGGAAAAGTGAAAAAAAAAAAAAGCGACCCCATGAGGAGTTCCTTCGGCGGACACGCGGTCGGGCACCTTGTCGTCGATGGTGTCAAACTTGGTGAGCACGATTCCGTCGATGAGCCGAGGCTTTTCTGTCATGGAGTTGTCGGCCAGAGCCTGGTTGAACTTGACCTGGAGGAGAGGAGGAACCCAGAGGGGAGAGTTATTCATGGGGGGGGGAAACTCTGACCTCTGCTGGACAGTTGAAGAACAGTTTAAATCCTCTTGTGAACGCCACATTCTAGCAGGTGACCACATCAGCCTCACCAGCTGGTCGACCGCCTCGTTGCCCACCAGAGCCTCTCCGACAAACAGCACGAGGTCGGGCATGTTGACCGCGATGAGCTTGGCCAGGGCGGTCATGAGCGGCGCGTTGTCCTGCATGCGCCCGGCCGTGTCCACCAGCACCACGTCGAAGGCCTGGTTGCGGGCTGCAGAAGGCGTGACGCGTAAAAAAACAAAAACAAAGGTCAAGACGGTGTTTAGCGTGCGATCGGCAGCGCGTGGGCGTCGCTGAATCGTTGGGGAGGGCGCGTCGTACCGTAGGCGATGGCCTCCATGGCGATCCCGGCGGCATCCTTGCCGTAGCCCTTCTCATAGAGCTGGACCATCGGGCGCCCCCCGTGCTGCTCGGGGGGGTGCAGGGAGTTCAGGCGGCGCTGGTGAGTGCGGAGCTGCTCCACGGCGCCGGCGCGGAACGTGTCGCAGGCCGCGATCAGCACCGTGAAGCCGTTCTCTATCAGCCAGAAGGAGATCTGGAGCGGATGATCGGACGGGGGCAAAATATTCAGCAACGGTTTTACTAAGAGAATACGCTTTTTTTTATTTTATTTTTTTTTTACATCCGTTCAAGTTCTTACGGTAAAACGGACTTCTGAAATAATGCCGAGATCAGTACCCACCTAGGCCATCATAATTCTGTAATAATTGAGTATTAGCAACAGCACCAACAATAATAACACTAAAAACATATTTGATCTAATGTGTTGATACTTACTATACACTATTATTAAGCTACAAGTATTTCCATATCTATACATTTGAGAATCACGGAGGAGCTTTCTGTAAATAGTCCCGGGAAAAATGGCTGTATAGTTTTTCTTCCCTGAACATTACAGAGGAACAGAACATTAGAAATGACTCCAGACTGTTGGGCTCAGCATCACATCGGACTGACCCTTTAAATAGTATGAAAAACTCCCCAAAAACCAGAATGAGACCATTTCACAGAAATTCAGGTGAAGTGCTGGACGCTGTCAAACAGTGATATTATAAACAGTGAATTAATACATAACTGAAACGTAAGATTTAGAATGTCATTTGGACGTCACTGGAAAGAGCCTCACTCCGCCTTCAGTGCAACTACTTTAAGAACAATTATGAATCCTCCGTTCTACGAACAGCTGTACAAGACCACAAACTCTCACGACACCAAACACACGGAAACGCGCGTGTGGGTGAACCGTGAGCCGACCACAGGAAACAAAAGAATAAACTATACGTCGTCAGCCTTTCGACCAGGGCCGCTCACCTTGGCCAGGTTGGTGGACTTTCCGACCCCATTGACGCCGCAGAAAGTAACGACGAAAGGCCGCCGCTGGTTCTGCGCCTCCATGACGTCCCTCAGGATGTCCACCCTTCGCTTGGGCTGCAGGATCTGCACCAACGAGTCCTGCAGGGCCAGCTTTACTGTCGAGGCCACAGCTACACACACACACACACACACACACACAAAACGAGTCAGCTTCGCCCTGAATCCTGCATCCACACGGCTATTCACTGACACAAGTGATCACATGTGGCCTACGCATCATTCAGCTACGTTATTGGGCTTTTACGCCTTTGACGTTACAACATGCTGGTTGTATCCTGTGTAGATGACATTCAAGGGGACGATCCTCTTACTTTAATAATCAGACTGTTGGGGAAAACTTAATACTGCAATAAGAGACATTATAAGGACGTGACGCACGCTGCATTGAAAGACAGATTTAGGAAAGTGGGCGACGATTTGGGGCGAGCGAAAGAGTACTTACTGGTGAATGTGCCCATGACTTTGCCCTCCAGTTTTTTGGCTACTGAGTCACAGAGCTGGTAGGCGATGTCGGCTGCTACATTCTTCGCTACGGGATCATAAATGAGAAGAATGAGCGGTGGGAAAAAACCCTGATAGAGAGAGAGAGGGGGGGGGTCCTACCGATGAGGTGGTCCTTCATCTTCTCCAGTACCGACTCCATGTCCTCTCGGCTCAGGCTCTTGGAGCCCACCAGGCCCTTCAGCATCCCAAACATGCCCCCAAAACCGCCACTCTTGGAGTTGGAGCTGAAACCAAAAAAACAAACCTGGGCAATTCGAAATTTGACCTTTAAAGCTAAAAATCGTTTTTTGTGAGATGTAAATACAGTCTTACATTTTCTTGATTGTTTTATTGTCAACCACCCTCTCCTCTTCCTCCGCCTCCTCCTCCTCCTCCTCTTCCTCACTGGACTCGTAGTCCACAGACGGCAGCTCACCCTTCATGGAGCTCAGCTGCATTCCCTGAAACAGAACCCGGACCTTGAGGACTTTGTTTGAACACTATTCATTATCCTAATCCAGGTGTCTTTTTCTTAACCGGAGTGAATAGGAGGGTCGGGGGGGGAGGCAGGGGGGGGGAGGGGGGTTCCTACCAGGTCAATTTGTGCATCCTGGTTCTGTTTGCCACCATTCTCGGAGTTATCTCCGTTGCTTCCGCTGTAGTCCAGCGCCTTGGTGCTGCTGCCGCCCATGTCCCAAACGCGCATCTGCTTCTCTTTGGGCTTCTGCGGTTTTGGGGACTTACTGCGAGCAAGAGGACAGAAAATCACGATTAAACAACTGAACGGGTCATCGTAAAAAAAATTGCAATTGTAATGACGGTATTTTCTGCATTTATTATCAACACATCACATCATTAAAAAAGTTCCCCCTTACGTGGCTTTCTCAGGGGGAGCCACCGTGCGCCTGCGAATGAATTCCTCGCGGTTCTTCTGTATGATCTCCTCAGCAGTGTAGCCCTGGTTACCATTCTCAACCGCCTTGTGCCCGGCGGACGGCGCCTTCACTTGATCCACTACGACAGGCACAGCTGCAGGAGCTGGAAAAAGATATATTTTAAAAATATCAAAATGGGAGTTCGGATGGAGACTCCGTGGAGACTCGGGTAACGTTTCGAATGAGAGGTTTTAGAAGAAGCACTTACCCTCCTTTTTGGTATTTTTATTCTTCTTGCCACCCGGTTCCTTGACCTTTTCCCCTCCCTTGGTCTCGATCATAGACTTCACAGTTTTTTGGGATTTCTCGGACTCCTTAAAGCTTCGCATGCGGTCGGGGCCCCGAGCTCTGCTGCTCTCCTCCGCCTCTCTGCACGTAAACATTAGATGCACGTCAGACACAAGCGATTCAGGCCAGCGAAGCCTCTTTGCGTCGTGCGATCGGACGTTTACGGGGTTCCTCGCCACGGGCGACACACCTCCGCCGGAGGGAAACTCTCCGTCTTTACCTGAGAAGCACCCGGAAGTCATCCTCAAACTGAAAGCTGCTGTTGATTAGCCTCAGGGCCCCCTTTTGCTCCAGCTCATTCTTATAACGATCCCGAAAATGGAGCTGGATGTCATCTATGAATTTGTCCACGTACGTCAGCGTCAGGATCTTTTGAAAGCCCACCTGGACGGAGACGAGAGGAGGGGGGGGGAGAGGGTCTGATTTCCTCAAGGTTTTAAAACAACACTCATCAGTCGCAGAGTTTGCTGGTTGGGAGACTTACCACAAAAATCAACTCGAACTCATTGTCGAGTTTGTATTTCAGACTGAGGCCCTCGTGGTTGTAGGAATTGTTCCCGGTGCGCTCCTGTAAGACCGAACAGCGATGACATATGTCAACAGGAGCTCGAGAGCCTCACATGGCGTTCATGCTAACGTCACAGCTAAGCTAGCCTGACGCGTCTACCCCACAATGTCAAAACACATCACGGCGGCAACAATTATATTTAAAAAATACACGTCCACAATGCATCACGGGAGGATTTGAGGGCTTATCACAGAGCGATAACCACTTGTTTACGTTCGTAAACTGAAGCGTTACGCAACAAGCTAAGGTTTGCTAAGGGTTACCGGTTGGCGTTAGCATTAGCTGCTAAAGGCACAGTGTTAGAATCGCAGACACAGACGCCGGTCACGGGCGTTCAGGCACGTCGCTGTGGCCCACCTGGAGGATTACGGAGCGGATCAAAGCGTTGACAGGCCCGGTGAAGGATTCCGTGACCCCGGCTCCCTGGAAACACCACAGCACTATCCCCCCTTTGCTGAAGATGGTGAAGAAGTCTAGCATCTTGACACCGCGTATCTAGAGTAATGAAACACACACGGACGGGGGAGAACAAAAATGAGACAAAAGCTCTGCGATAAACTCGTGTGTATGTGAACGTTTAAAGCTGTGTCTCGTGCTCTGTATAACAATTGGATCTTACCAAATGTAAATCAAAGCGATGTGAAATCCCCCACGGGTCGAAATCCGCCACCAGAGCAAAACTGTTTTAGACACGTCAGATGCGAAACCCGGAAGTGACGCGCCGCTTCTTCTTCTTCTCTTGAGCTGGATGGTGGATCGCAGACAGTTTGTGGTGCTTACCGCCGCCTAACGTACAGGGGTGGGAAAGCCCTCTGCCTCCTGCAGGTTGGAGTGCAACTACACATGTTTTTTGCTTCCACACTTACCACACTGTTCACTGTTTTTTTCTTCTTCAGCACAATAATACTGCCATTTAAATCTGTGTAATCTGATCACTTCTCCATTGCTCTTTCTTGTCATCTGCAAATATATGTTTGTACATTAATTCATTTTGTGAAGCCAACATTATCAACCACTTTTTTCCTGTCCTGTACCTGGAAGAACTAGTAGACATGTATGCCACCTCTCTGTAGTTAAATGTATTACCCTTACGTTTATGACACCAAACTTTAAATTAGATGTTGGCTGTTGAGCAGCAGCAAAAACAACACAACTGGACAGACTGCAACACAGATTAATAATGCGATGCACTGGGCTCATTAATGGAACTCCCACTAACACGGCTCCATGTGAAACAGAAGACAAACAACCAGAGTTCAGGAGAGGTCGGACCTGATAAAGTAACTGTGTGCTGAGATTCGGCAACGCTCCAATCCCACTGTTTATATGTGTCTGACCCTCTCTCCATCAAATACCCAAACATTATTAACCTCTCTGCATCAAACATTGTCTTCTTTGCAATTAGTGTGTAGTGGTCATGACTTTCTTGTTCATTTTAAAGTTCATTCATTGGGAAGCGTCGTCAAACATGAGGGCAAACCTGACAACACACCCATGCAGTACACATACAATAGTTACTTGTATAAAAGACAATAAATGTGCATCACTTCCCATTGAATGGTATGCTGTTTGTTCAGTGATTTGTGCTGTTCTTCCTCTTATTTCTTCTTGAAAGAATAATTCCAGATGAGAGACTAGTTGCTGTGCAGCCGATGCAAGGGGTTTTTTTTCTTCAAAATTTGTTAAATTGTGTCCATGCACATGCTCTTAACAAACGGTTGGCTACCTGCTCAGTGAAGTATAACGTTTCAGAAACTTTGACTGAAACGGTTTCGTCAGTTGTCAACTTCCTCTTCCTTTGCTGGTGATGTCAGTGACAAGTTTTCAACTCTTCGTGTCCTCGTGTCCTCCCGACTGATTGTGTGACACTTTTTGCTCAGCTACCCTTTTCGCTTTCAAGATCACGCACACGGTTTTCACAGGAAGGATTCGAAGGCGTTGAACAGACATGACGACGTTGACACCATGCATGGTTAGTACTGTATCATTATTCATTAGAATACCAATCCTGTGCTACGTGCATCACTGTTCATGCTTCCATAGCTTTTAGGGTTTAAACAGGCACAAGGAAAGGCTCATCAACACCTGGTCAGAAATATTCATTTTTATCTTCTTCCTCCCTTCAGGATGGATCCAGAAACTCTGGAAATCGAGAATATCTTCATCAGCACCACGGGAACAAGAGGCAAAGGTCACGGAATTGATATCAAATTCAGCATCTTCCTCGTCACCATCCCTGAGCACGAGTCCCGCCAAGCCGCCTCAGCCTGGTCTCAGCTCGCTGCCGCGATGGAGGCGAAAGTACGACGTGTTGGTGTGCCACAGCGCCGAGCACCGTGACGTTAACGAGGCTTCGCGCCTGGTCTCTTTCCTGGAGGCGTCGCCCCGGAGCCTGAGGTGCTTCCTGATGCAGCGGGACGCCTGCCCAGGGGGCGCCATTTCTACAGAGCTGTGCCAGGCTGTGCAGGACAGCCACCTGAGGGCCCTGCTCATCACTCCGGACTTCCTGCGGGACGATTGGTGCCAGTACATGATGCACCAGGTTCTGTCAGAGGGGCCCATGTCCAATCGGATCATCCCCCTGGTTCAGGACCTGTCCCACTCTGAATACCCTCCGGAGCTCCGCTTCTACTACTACATTAACTTGGGGGGTGACCGTGCCAGCGGTTATGCTCGCGTCACAATGGCTGTGCTCAAGTGTGAGTAATGCAATACAGATGTGGAAATTTGGGCCAATTTCGTGGATTTGAAAATGAACTCGGTCCCGGCCCACAAGTTTGAAATGAGGAATCAGTTGAAATCCAAAATATGCCAAATCAGCATTGTCGTTCTTGTGAGAGCAACAAGTTCTCAGCAATCGTTTCTCTGGTCTTTCCTAGATTTCGAAGACCTGGATAAAAACGAGAAAACACTTGAGGAACAACACGGACAACCGTAGGATGGGCCGAGTGGAGAAGCCCAGCTCACAGACACTCACGCCGCGCGCTGTCAAAGCACGACCCCACGAACACTCCCATCCCACTGGAAAGCAATGGGGAAGAGACAAAAGCCTTAATGGTGTCCATCATCATCATCATCATCATCATCATCATAATCATCTGTGGTAAAAGACGAGATGTTCTCTGTTGAAAGTGAATGTTACGCTGCTGCTTTCCTCCTCTGCATGGTGTGTGTGTGTGTGTGTGTGTGTGTGTGTGTGTGCGCGGTACGCACGTTCATATACAGGCAACAGAAAACGTCGTGCATCAGCTCCGGAGGGGCACGGCGTCGATGGGAAGACGGCGTGAGAATTTCTCTTAATGTGCTCAGCTCGTTACACATGATTCACGGCAATTTACTAAGCAGGTGACCGGTATACACAGGTTTACAACACAGGGCTGTAAAACCCCTTAAATTATCGTGAACTTCTCATAGCAAAAAGAAAACGGGAATGTTTGCTGTTAAAGGATGGATGATCCTGTGATGTAGATCTAGTTCACTGCTAGGTGGTTCATTCTCCCATTCTATCCAATCCGCAGTGCAAAAGTGAAGGAAAAAACGGTCTGAGGTCTCGCTGGTCTTTGCAGGCGCTTACCTAAAACAGGCGATAAATAAAAGAGTTGTCTCTTTCCCATTGTGAAAGAAGAGGGCGTAGAAGTGAGGGACACACCTGTAATTAACTTGCTTTTTAGAGGGGAAGTGTGAGAGAAGTATCGAGAGAAGTTACACCTTAATGTTCCCTTTTACGGTGAATCGTGGTTTGAATATAGTCACAATACGCTCGACTGACTGGTTCTTGCTCAGCAAGGAAACAAAGTCTGAAGAAGAGGCAACCGGAGCCTTGATAAGCGTACCTTGATAACTCATTTCTATCAAGGCCAGGCCTTTTTCTGTTTTCTTTTTTTTGCAGGAGGCACCGCTTTTCTGTATCATCCTCCAACTTCCAAACCTCCCAAACATTTAGGGTCACAAAAAATCTCTAATCAGCCCTTGTTGCATGAAAATTGTAGTTTTATATTTGAAAGACACGCAAATGATGTTCCCAGAGGCTTTTCCTCTTTGTTGTCGTGGGTTGTGGTCATAACAACGTCCTCTCCGTAAGACGCACGATGAAGGCAAGTTGGAAAAGTGAAGCCCTGCGGCTGAAGAATTGCTGGGAAGTGGATTACAAATATAGAGTGACTCATCCGTTGTTGGGCTCGTGCTAAATGACAAATTGCGATTTTCACCTCGCACTTATTGTGAATAACCGGGTTGCAATCAGGAGGGACTCGTTCCGGGTTGACAATACATTCATTACATCTGTGTAATATTGAAATAGTGCAAAATCTTGGCCGATTGTGTTTCTTGGTAATGCCACCCTTGTTTGATTTGGTGGGTCTTCATGCAAAAGCCATTGTAAAGGAGGTCCTTATGAACATGAATGGCTCTATAAACGAGGCCCATTTTTTATTGTCTGCTTGTTTTTCGATGAACCAGAATTCTTTACAATCCCTCTGGCAGGTAGTCAGCTGTCTCGCTTTCATTCCAGATGCATCGGCATGTAAAAATCCCACGGGAATTTAACCCTGACGCTGTGGTCTGAAGCCTGGCCGAAAGGCCCGCGTCCGTGTGTTGGGACAAGTCAAGGTTTCTCTTTGACTAAAAAGGTCTTACATATTTGTAAATCGGATAACAACTAAAACCTCATTGGATAACACTTCGTAACATAACGTTTTTGAACGCGAAGACTGACAGTAAAGCTGCAGGAGCCGGCTGTGTGCAGCGAGCATCAGCACTTTCAGCACGAAGCAGGAAGTGACAGGGAGGAGAGGGACGATTCGAGCACTCAGCTGTTGGTCTCCACGGTGGTCCCCATCGGGCGTGGCGGTGCCGACTTGGACATTTCCCTCCGTGGTGAGTGCGTTCAGCCACATTAAAACCCTGGCTGGGTTAATTAGAGGGGAGCAGTAGATCCCGGAGGTCTGTTTCTCGTGTACGGCGCAGAGAGACACGGAGAAACGGCACGCCGCCACACGCACACCATGGTTTCACCCACCACGTTGAACAATGTTTTCCACCACTGCGGCACCATTTGTCCTCGTTTAACACCTCGTTTAGCCTTCTACTGTCTTTAGGATGTTTTTGTTTTAACTTATTTTATAGTTAGTTTGATCTGAAACACACTGAACGGAGATGTTTACATGACCGGATGGCAGATTATGTGAGGATGCTGGGATATGGTGAAAGCTCTGGCACAGCCTTCCCATAGTTAGCTGAAGATGGTTATGCTCACTTTTCCTGTTGGTATTAGCGGCGCGTCATCCACAAAGACATCCGCATCCTGGAGGAATCACATCTGCCTCTGCGTTCTGATTGATGCGCCGCTGTGGTCACACATCCCCAACCAGCTGCACTTACAGTCCTGAAGCTGTCAACCCCTCATTAGACTCACCTTTCTCGTTTCAGGGGTACAGTGTAGATAACAACAAATGGTTTAAATACACGCAGACGGCCACCTGCTGGTAGAAACGTTAAACACTCTTTATTGCGTATCCATTAAAACTCCTCGTATTTATTGAATTTTATTATTTTTTTTAGTCACCTTAGTCACGGTGGATATGCAACTTATACATCTAAATTTGCAGATAGACTCAAATACATATCTTTACTCCAGCGGAAAAGCTGTTTTGTGGCTTGAAATTGGTTTACTTACGAGTTGTCTTCCCAAAAGTAATGGAATATATTAAATGTATAATACATTTCTAAAAACACATTTTGTAATTGCATTTATTTGAGTTGAAGTGTTTCCTGTAACTGTAATTTCACCAAATGTTAAATAAAATTGGGGAAATAACTGTGTGTAAATTACTGTGTAAGGATTCAATAACATCAAAATTGTTATTTTTCAAACCATATATTCACTACATATAAAAATAAAACAGATGAAGACCATTCATTATTTACACAATATGCATGTTTTTATGTTTCACAATGAAAAAACCGACAGTTTGGAAAGAAGACTGTATGGCATGCTGATGGTAAGTAGTACATGTTTTATCATACTTTTTAACATTTTAACCTACTTATCTGTTTATATCGTTTTCATTTTTGCTTGTATATTTTGTATCTTTGCATCTCTTTGTTTTTCTTATATTGCGCCAATTCACCAAGTCAAATTCCTCTAAGAGCATGTGGCAATAAATGGCTGCTGATTCTGATTCTACCTGGCAAGAAGCATACTTGACACGACGTTTAAAGTTAAAACAAGTTAAAAAATAAAAGTCTGCATGAAGAGATGCATGCTCATTATGCATTTAAAGTATCCTCTTTTCAGTGGGTTACAAACAGCCAACATCAGTGAGCCTTTCCAGATGTCGATGCCGCTGGGAGCAGAGATTGAGCAAAGCATCATAATTAGCAGAAGTCCACTGACATAGAAAAGGTTCACTAACCTCCGCGCTTCAGTTTCATCTCCGCGGGCAGCCTGCAATGTATGCGGCCATGGTGCTGGGACGTCTGGATCGATCGCTGTGGTCGAAGCTCACGTCGCATCGCTGCTTGGATGTGATGTGAGCGAGCAGTCTTCAAGTGTGCAAGACAAGGCCCGGTATTCATAGTGTGAAGCCGCCCTGATGGTAGAGGTGCGCTCTAAACACACACCGACCAACCAGTTCTGACTTGACAAAAGAAAACTAGAGGAGTTCAGGGTAAAGCTGTGCAACAGATATTTGAATAAAAGGAGCAAAAAGCATCACTTTTATTTTAAAGTTCACTCACACTCAAACTAAATCTAAGCGTAGGAGGGTTTACAAAATTAAGTCATAGTTTATAAATACCAGAGATTCCCCAAAACAGGAACCCGGCAAATAAAAACATAATCCTATTATTTCAAGTTAATCTCATCCTCCGTGGTGGGAAACTAATACTCAAGCAGGCCTCCGCACCTACAAACAGGAGCTGTTCTTGAGCTGTTCCACCTCCTTTAACCCCTTTTCAGATTCAGATCAGGAATACAGATTACGAATACAAAGAATCATTTTGATGTTTTTCCGTTCGTCTTGTTTTGTCTCTTCTGATTTGCAACATGAAAGTGATGTTGACATCGATGCCTCACTAACCACGATACACAAGAGGAGCCCATTGTTCAACTCAGTCTCAGTTACATTTGGATGCCATTATGTGATTTGGAACCGATCCGAGCAGCTTCTCCCGCCACCGTTTGCTTCACTTTATTGTCTGTTACATTCAGAGGTTTTCAAAAAAAAAAAAGACAGCCAACACCAAAGTCTTTCCAGATGTTGCGCCCGCCGCGATGAAAGTCCGGTCTGAAGCGGATTTGAGGGGCCATGTGGCAGACGGCCACGATAACCTGGAGATCACGTGGGACGCTTCGACGACCCGCGCGCTTCAGGGTCCGACGCTGAACACGATTAAACACGTTTTTTATCCAAAAAAAAAAAAAAAAGGCATGCCATTCGGTTCCGTTGGCTCGGTACGCGTGACCCACGTGCGCATGCGTGGCTGCGTTGAGACAGACACAGAGACAGAGAGAGAGAGAGACAGAGAGAGAGAGAGAGACGGGCACGCGCGCTAACGGACGGACACGGCGTCCGAGCAGAAAAGACCTTTCACGCGGAGCGGCGGCCCCGCGGGCACGCGCCCCCTGTTTCCTCTCCGCGTCGTGCCGAGGGATGAACTTTGACGCTCGCATCACGTCGGCGCGTCTCCACGGGTGTCGGTGTTTTTCCCCGCGCGGCGCGCGTCACCCGGGCGGGCGGCGTGAACTTGGTTGCAACATCACCGCGCAGCTCCGCGGATTAACGCTCATCTGTCCGCGCGCGCTGCTGGTGAGTATAGGGTCCCTTCGAACTAACGTGGGGAAAGCGTGCATGTGTGTGTGCGTGCGTGCGTGTGTGCGTGCGTGCGTGTGTGTTTGAGAGTTTTTTTTCCTCTTTTCTGTCTTTTTTTGTCTTGCTGGCTGCAGGCGGGGATCTGGCCCCGTTTGATCACAGGATATCGTGTCGACTTTGTCTATCACGAGGTTTTACTTGTACATCTTCAGTGGCATTTGTTCCTGTTTGGGGCCGTTAGATGGAGAGATTGAAAACTTCCGTGTGCTCCTGCGTTTATTCCACCACATGTTGGTATGATGCCCGTGATCAGTGCAGTTGTTCTAATAATGACGTCAAAGGGAAATATTGGGGCACTTATTTGAATTGGCCAATGCTGAGCTCACAGGCCCCACGGAGCTAAATTGTTATTTTATCAATAACAGAATCCCCAACGGAAACCAACACGCTTCATGTGAGCCGGCGGTATTTGACTGACTGGTTTTGTTTTGTAATTTGTTCATTTGTAACCTGTATGAGCGTTGGTGCCTCGCACACATGATGGCACTCATGTGTCGCCTGAGGTCTCGAGTCACAATGGTGCAGAAATGCAGAAAAAAAGTGAAATGAAAGTACAACTATGCAGTAAATATAAGAATAGCAAACACTTCACTCCGCTCAGCCTCTCGCGTGCTGATATACAGTATGAGGAGGATGAAAAGTTGATTTTCAGATGAGTGCGAGCTTTCCCCTTGTAATTATATACAAAGAGGATTTTTTTTTTACAAACATTTCTCATTTGTGTCTTTTTAAAAAATCCCTTTCAGCGGCAGCCTTATATCATCTTGAGACCTTTTGAATGCAACAAGCTATCTCCATGTTTTTATTTAAACAAAATACATTTAGGCAGAGATTAGAATATCTATTTTTTTTCTCTCCATAACTGAGAACTGTTCAACTGACTGATGTGGTTTATCTAAACTTTATCATCACAGTTCATTGTGTTACAAACTTACATAACGTGGAGTCGTATATCATTGATAGAGAGACAGTTAGCTCGGTAGATTATTGCTCAGGATGGTGCGCTTAGTCACTGCATCATCGCAGAAGCACGCAACCCAACAGATGTGTTTTTTGCACAGATGTTACTTTTAACGGGGCTTTGAAATAAAGCGAATGCAGGCGACTCGCTGCCAATCAGCAAAGACCCCACGACGTGCCGCCCGACTGCAGCGCCGGTGCCCTCGAATAGTTCATCTCTCGCTCTGAGGCTCACAAGCCCCCACCAGTCCCACCAGTCCCACCGGTCCCCGGTGAGGGTTTCATGGACGTATCAAACTGTGTGCCAAATCTTCATAAAACTCGCAGGCCAAAGGACGAAGCAGCTCCACTTTGGAGAGGATCCGAATCGCCGGAGTGGATACACGTATCATTTTTCCGATTTAGCCGATTAAGAGCAGGGAAAAAATATGTGAGGTGGGATTACCAGCCTCATTCCACATGTCTGAATAAACACACGCACACATCGACAACAAGGCACCTGTCAGATGATCCCGCATTATTACCTGATCACGAGTGTTGTTAGAGGATCTTAAATTCATACCTTTATTGTACCGTTTGTACTGTGTAGGTCTACTACCATCGTGGGGATGGCGGGGGGGGGGTCCATGGGGTTTTTTCATACAGGACCATTGGCTCCTTTTTACCCTAAGGCTCCTAAATGGGTTAATCCGGCTTTAAATAGATGAAAAAGAATGGCTATTCCACCGGTAGCCTCTGCTTTAGGGCATTAGTTGAAAAACACAATGCTAAAGGAATGAAGCCATTGCCTTTGGAAGGTGGATATGTGTAATTATTTTATTTTCTCTTTTATTTGTGCAGCGCACAGTGTGAAAACTATTTGCACAAGAGTCGGCAAGAGCCTTTGTGACGACAGATGGCAAAAAACCCCACTTATTGCCCCAGCTTTCCAACAGATTAGAACAGAAAAGCAGAAGCTCTTTGTCGGAGCTCCCACTTCGTCTCTGTGCAGAGAAAGTTTTATTGTTCCTTATCCCTGAGCGGTAAACAGCCGTCAGATGATCCCGGGATGAGAGGCCCTCGTCCTTCAGCTCAAGGATACGTAACCGTGGTCCAACGTGTCTGTGTGGGAACAGTCTGCAGACGCTAACTGGAAATGATCTGCTGCTGCCAAAATACAACTCGTCCACCGGATTAATGAAAACCAGATATTTCAAACAAGAAGGCGGAACTAAGCTGCTGAGTCACAGTGTCTGCTCGAAAGCGTGTGTCACTCCTGGAAAACCGAATGCTACACGGATTTGTACGCCTCCAGAGCAAAGCTTACAGATCCTACTGAGATTTTTACCGAACGCACATTTATTTCGCAACGACGTCCTTTCCAAAACGTCATTTTTGGTGGAGTTCTTCATCATTTTATCCTAGAGCAATGAGGGACTTTTAAACATGATGACTAATTATTTGGTTGATTTGTTGAGCAACACGTGGCAGCAACAATCATGAAGCAACATAACCATCATATATAGTTTCCTAATACATAGGTCAGCGTTGGTGTTTTACGTCAATTTATTATTTGAATTATGCATTTATTCCTAATTATTTCAATTATATACAGTTGCCTCACTATTCCAAATTGCAGGGTCCCCAGATTAAGTTATTATATATATTATTATTATTGGATTATGTGTATTTGAGGTGATTTTCTATTGTGACCAGTACGTAATTGTCCTTTTCTTCAGCACTGTGATAGAGAGAACTCTGATGTTGGTGAAAGGGCTATAAAAAGGTCACTTTTCACAGACTTTACTCGTTCTCACTATGATCTATAATCATCTCCCACAATAATTAACTTAACCGTTTAAGTACATTAAAGGGGTAAAGTCCTACGCCAGAGACAGTAAAAAAACATATCTGCTATAGTTACATATAGCAGATATGGCGTCCTGCGTGGGGTGGGAGGGGTTGTCTATCTGGGATTATGTAATTTCACCATAATCCTCCTCCCAGTTAGGAGGTTGTCGTTGGCGGATCTGAGGTTGCAGGTCCAGAAGGAGGAGGATGATGATGTGGAGGCCTTTGCGCGAGATGAGGAGAACTTTCAACTGCATTATTCATGTTAATGCCGCGAGAATGTTGGTCGGCAATAACTCGCTTGATTGACGACAACGTTACCACCGTGTTTCTGCTCCCGCTGAGCTCACGCATACTCGCATACTCCTGCCCTGCCAGACCGTTTTTGAGCAAATATTATTGAACCGTGCGCGTGTAATCAATCCCAGGATCTGGGTTGTGAACAATAGTTTGAAAACATCCCCGCCATGCGGAAATGAAGCTTCCCGTTAGTTTCCTAATGAAGTGGACACACAGCATGACACAAATTGACTCTGTGAGATTCAATTTGAACTCTTAAGCTGGTGTTTATATTGTCCCAATCTTGTCAGTGTTAAATCAACACTCAACGAAGTGTTAACAAGTGAACTCGGAATAAGTGTCAACAATAAATCTGCCCAGTGTTAAATACATTACAGGTCATTTAGCTGACACGTTTATCCAAAGCGACTTAAATCGCATTTATAACACATGGTTTTTACATTTTAGCCTGGTTGCAAATGGATCTGATCTTGACACTGAATAATGACTCCAGCTCTTTTGTACAATTGACTCTGTAAGAGTTGAATCAACTTTTTGCAGTGCGATTTCAACTCTGCACTTCAACACTTTTGCCGAACACCGGAAAATTAACTCTAAGAATTTTGCTGTGCAGAACTGTTGTGTTTTGGTGCTTTTGTTGCACGGCGAAACCGCCGTGTTGATCTTGTGTTTGTCTTGTGTTGGATCTTGTGTTTGTCTTGTGTTGGATCTTGTGTTTGTCTTGTGTTGGATCTTGTGTTTGTCTTGTGTTGGATCTTGTGTTTGTCTTGGATTGGATCTTGTGTTTGTCTTGTGTTGGATCTTGTGTTTGTCTTGGGTTGGATCTTGTGTTTGTCTTGTGTTGGATCTTGTGTTTGTCTTGGGTTGGATCTTGTGTTTGTCTTGTGTTGGATCTTGTGTTTGTCTTGGGTTGGATCTTGTGTTTGTCTTGTGTTGGATCTTGTGTTTGTCTTGGGTTGGATCTTGTGTTTGTCTTGTGTTGGATCTTGTGTTGTTTATAGAAGGTGTCATCAAGGTATGGTTCATTTCAGTTGACTCATGGTTAATCAGCTGACGAGCACCACTCTCTTCATAGTACTCCGTCATGGTCAACATCTACGACATGTAGACATGTGCGCTCAAGTGTTTTCCCAAACAAAGATTCAAGCCGCGTGTCGCATATCAGTCAACGCGCCGATAACACCTGAACACCGTTGTGAGTCGGCGCCGTCGTAAGTAGTGAAATGACAGTTGGGGTCTGGTTCCATCTTGGCGTGTCGATCGCGTGGTCTCCACCCGGCGGGTCGGGGGGGCGCCGGTGTTTCGCCGGTGGATTCACAGGCGGTATTACGTTACTCTTTTGGAAATGTGTCCACGCGCACGTCTCAAAATAGAAGTTCAGCTGTGCACTCCTTCCATTGACTATTCATTTTCAGCAACGTGCTAGAGATCATGAATCAGAAGGACTGTGCTTAAGATGCACTGTGCATTAACTAGTCACATCTGTTTAACGTCACCTGCCCTTTAATCTGGTTTTAACTCTCATGCAACCAAGCACAGACTTTTCACATGATCCTCAGATCAGGGAACTAGTGTCTATCAGTCACTGGTATGATCCTTTGAACTGATCAGCCTTCATCGGCTTCTCTCTCTCTCCCTCTCTCAGCTTCTCGCTCTGTCATTCGCTGATTCATCCGTCCCAAATCTGGTCCTCATCAAGGAAGCTTTTTTTTGTCTGTCTGTGATTCGAGATTCAAGATTCAAGATCGATATTTTCATGTGTACAGTTTTAACAAGTTACTCAATGTAGAAGGAAATGATTATTTCGCTGTTCCCTCCTTCCAAATAATTACAACGACACACTAAAAGAGAACAAAAGGTAAATAAATACATACACACACTAAAGAGAGATAAATATCAGGGCCGTAAATTGATAAATGTTCTTGTTCTTACAATGTTGTTGTTAATGGACGTTGTTTTTTCTTCTAAAGACTAAATCTTACAAGTACTGAGTAATCACTATTTTAGACACTGTTGTTTGATTGTTAATGTTATTTCAAACGCAAAACTTGTTAGGGGTTCAACTTGCTCAAATTTAAAAATCAAAAAGTATTTAGTAGCTAAATAAAGTGATGAGGACCTTATGAAAGTGATAAGGTTTAGTCAAAGGACTAATTCAGTTTAGTCCTTTGAAAACGCCTGAGGTGTGTCTTTTTGGTGCATTTGAATGTCATTGGCTTCTCCTTCAAACGTGTCTCCTTCTGGTCGGTCGTCTTCACATCGAGGTGTGAAGCTGCAGCTGCAACCGCAAACCTCTCTAAAACCGGAAACCCCTTCCTTTCTTACTTTAAGGGGGCTGCCGTTCGAATGAGAGGGGGGGGGGGGGGCATTGTTTGAATACTGGTTTTGATAGGAAGTAGTGTTAACATCTGCCGTCTTCCTTTCTTTACCCTTCATCCAGGGTAACCACATGCACTGTGTAGAAATGAGAGGACCAAGGAGCACGTGAAGATGTCCCCGAATTCAACCAAAAGTAAGCTTTTCATGTTCATTGGGTTATCTGTGCCAAACGTTAATTCTGCTTTAAAATCCAAAGAATGTTAAGACTTTTGACCCTGAGGTCACAGGTTTGAAGTAATTCCGATCCGGCGGTGTGGTACGGCACCTTTGTTGCCACGTGTGCCTCGAGTCACTCCCGAACAACTGCGAGTCTCGTTAAATTATTGTGGGAAAACCCAAAGCTTTTTTCCTTGGATTCAAAACATGGATTCAAAACACGGAAAAAGACCCTTGGCAGTGATTCATTTTCAACCAAGGAGCTGCAGTGGCATTGGGGGTCGCTTCATTTTGTCGTGCCTTGTGCTTGAAATATGGTGTTGGTTACAGTTTGTTTCTCAGTTCGTGGCATGGACTGTTCAGCTCGCTTCCTTAAAGGACCCGTCTGATCACAGGGAGGTTACTAGGCAACCAGCAGAGACGCTGGGAGGTCACCACAGATAACCTCTCGTAATATTGAAACTTTGCTGTTGTTTTCGGTTTCTTTTGAATTGAAATATTGTTGACTCTGCCGAACTAGATCTTCTCATCCAACCCTCGGATAGACAGTAAATACTCACTTCAGTATTCCCCCTAAAACTCGACTAACGGGTCAAATCCAAACTGTTTGTTCACATTCAAGGAATTTGGCTAGGTGAATGGTGCATAACAGTTAACTAATAATATTCATTCATTATTAATATATATATATATATATATATATATATATATATATATATATATATATATATGGAAATAGACAATTTGTATATGGGTAAACATGCAAAAAAAGAACATTGTGCTAAAACAAATAAATGATCAGTGTCAAATCTTTATTAATAGAGAAAAGATTTGCAAGGCTGTGTCACTGTAAGACATTGTCCAGGGAACATGTCTGAGTCAGTGGGGGGGTCTCAGGGGGAGGGTCTCCGGCTTTATTGATGAACCTGACTGCAGATTGGGAGAAACAGAGTTTGTGCCGGTGGTCCTGATTGACCGCTTCCTCGAAGATTTTGTGTCCAGTGGGGAGAGAGATTGGCCACGATCACTCTCAGCGTCCTGGAGGCGAGTTGTGAATGCGCGGCAGATTGCAGCCAATCACGTGCTCAGCAGAGCGTACGGCGCGCTGCAATCGGCCCCCGCCGCGCCCCCCCTCCTTGGCCGCTGGAAATGACTTAGGAAGCACATCCTCGGCCGAGCCTTCTGGGCGATGGAGCTGATGTTCAGCTCCCACTTGAGGGACCGGGTTTGGGACGGGCTGGTATCTGGTACCAGACTGAATTATTGAACAGGCTTCTCCTTCCAAGTGAAACGCTTCTGCTTCATCTGTGGGTTTCACTCTGCCGTAGAATAGAGGCCGTACTGGGTGGGGCCTTTCCTGTTGACTTGTGTGGTTTTCTCGACATAACGCGTCACGCGCTATCAATTCATTAAGATGCATTTCAGTTTCAATATTCACTACCTGATCTTATACACCTGCGTTAAAGGGGAAGCCAACTGCAGGATGCTCGTCCATTATTATTATTTTTAATATGATACAATGTAACTTAATGGTGTTACAGGGTTGTTTTTCTCATCCAAAGTTCATATAAAGAATTATTACTTAAAGCCAGTATGTGTTGTGCAATTTGGCAATCCGTTTATTTGAACAAATGTACGTCTGCCTCTGTTTTTTATTCTTTGATTTCCAGCATGGTGCCTTAGGCTTTTCCCGATCCTCCTCTTCTTCATCTCCTGTGTCACATTCTACTGCTCCTATGCCATAATTCAGAGGTAACTACCCGCAAGCATTTCCCTTCTCTGCCCCTCCTACTGGGTACCGAGGTCGCACGGTTTGCAGAAATGTCACTTTCTGGTCAAGAAGCCGTACGTCACACGGCCGGCCCGTGTTGTGCTGAGGCACTAGAGTGCAAGTGGACAAACCCTCATCGTGATCATCTGGCAGCCCAGAGCTGCTGGTCCAGTTAGGCTCTGCTCACCGGGCCCGCTGCGCCTTCATGGTTTTTCGGCAGTAACTTTCACGGCAGCGGTGTTGACTGTGTGTGTGTGCGTTTCAGCTACGCAGGAACCAATCGGTCTCCCAACAGCAGCAAGTCGCTGTGCGGCGGTTGGCTAACGCAGAAGAAGTGGGAGAGCCTTAACTTTAAGTGAGTAACTTAAGTGTTTATTTTACAAGCCGGAGGGAGTGGATTTTTTATACGCCAGTCATTTTATTTCAAAATAAGTTACCAGGCTTCTTGCAGCGGTTGGGACTGCTGTTTATCAGTCTCAAAGAACAAAAGGAGAAGGAAGGGCACTTGTATAAATAAAAAAGAAGCGTCATGCAGGTTTGAGCTGAAGCGGAATGTGTTGATGCAATGTTACAAAGTTATGATGAAACCAACTCTTGATAAAGGCTTCGTTGTTTAAAACCGGCCCGAGAAGCTTGTTTGTCCTCCTCCGGTTCAGCCGAGTTAAGAAATCTCCCCCCCCTCATTTCTTTCCTCTGGTCCTATTATCAGTTTATTCAGCTGCGTATTTACTTTTGCTTTTCTATCAGGTTGAGTTGTGTCACAAAATAGTGATATGGCCTCCACCTGTGTGTCCAAACTCCTCAGAGGTCACTGTTTGTTTCTGTGGCTCATTAGATCTTTGGCTGTCCGACCTTTGACCTTTCAAACAACATTCCTAATCCCCGTGTTTACCTCTGTGAAAGAAGGCAAGCAGAGTCCCCCCGGCTGCGTGTTCGTCACACGTCATTACAGTCGCAGGGAGGCCTACCAGGCAATCAGAGTGACATTTCTCTAATTAGACCCCTCCCGGGAGATTTATCCGGATCCCCTGCAAACAGCTAACTGGCACACAAGGGCAGTAAATGTCTGAGAGACTGACTGTCAAAGGCAGTAGGTCATAAACAGCCGGGGGGGCCGAGGCACATCGAAAACAGAAAAGCAACTGTTTCGCGAACCGCTGTACAACCTAAACGATTGTCTCACGCCACGGGAACGTTGTGAGTGTTTAATCCCCCCCCCTCTCCACCCCTCTGCAGATAAACGCCAACAGGAGGCTTTAATGAGGGGAATTGCTGTTGAACGACATCATTGTAAAATGTTCTGGTTTACCTGCCTGTTAGATGCCAGAACATTTAGGGAACGTTAAGACGAGCTTCTCCGCGGGTGCCGTCCATTGTGTGGTTTTTAAATGCCCCCGAAAAGAAAGTGGAGAGCATTTTATTTCCATCCCCAGCTGTGTGTGACGCCTCATTCACGTCCTCCCCTCTCGCTCTCAGCCACAAACCCGAGTGTAATGCAACACGCAGCGGAGCCCTGTGTGTTGTAACTTCTGCTCCCCCATTTCTCCCGCAGCGTTAGCCGACAGACAAAGCTCTTTCTGAAGCTGGAGGATTTCTTCTGGCGGGAGCATCTCGCGTCGCGGCTGGCGTTACCGTACGGCGTCAAGGGCAGCGGTAAGCAACGGGCGCTTCTCCCACTCAGCACATTTCTCACGCGCCCGTACGAGGTGTTTTGCACTTTGTTCTGTTCAAATGTGTGCGTTGTGTTGCTGTAAAGCAGCAGCGCTTTGATAAAAGAGCGCGTCATCGATTCACTTATTTCGCTCCACAATCCAGCCGAAGCGCTACACAAAAGCCTCGTCCGTTTTTGAACAAAAACGCCATTTCAACTTCTCCTTATTTCCTCTTTCCCTCTCAGAGCCGCTGCTGCTGAAAGCTCTCGCCGTACTTGCAGATTATCAGGTGCCAGACAACATCCAGAAGTAAGTGTGGTGCGTTTGCTTTTCGGCGTGACATCATCGCCGCGCTCTAGGGTGCTTATGGCCAAGATGACTGCCCCTCATTATGGTCAACAAAGTGTCCCTGCTCAAGTCTCTCTCTCTCTCTCTCTCTCTCTCTTGACAGAGTGACGTTTTGTTTCCAGTCGAACAAAAACTTGAAAACACTCACACTGTTTTTGTATGTGGTGTTTTTTTTCCCTCCCACAGCCTCGAATGCAGAACCTGCGTCGTCATCGGCAACGGCTTCGCCATTAAAAACAGCTCCTTGGGAAGCATCATCAACAAATATGACGTGGTCATTCGGTGAGCGCCGCGCGCAAGTCTCGCTGTCAGTGTTATGGCGTTTCGCTCGCTGTTCCTGTGGTGGGAATGAGTGGATGAAGCCCCCTTGTGCGAAATCGAAAGCATCCCACGGTTGTTTTTCGATTATATATTACAAACTAGAATATAGAAAAAAAAAAACATCAAAAATCGAGTACAGGCAGAAGTTCAGCTGAAAAGGGTCAGATGTTTCTTCTGCCTAACAGGAGCACTGGCAAAGCTTCTTGGTGTGAACAGAAGCTTTACTGCACATCAGGGAGGTTTGTGTTGTCCAATCAGAAGACACCGCTGCGCAAAGGAACTGGAGCAGGAAACAGATGTGGAAGGAATACACCCTTAAGGTCGGGAAGGTCACACGGCGAGTTCCCGTTTCTGGCTCACGGTGTGCGGATCGATGAATTCTGCCCCAACAGTTATTACTTTGAACTGTTCACGCTGCTGAGGAGGAATTATCCTGCTTTCTGAATCCACTTGATGAAAACGTCTTCAAAATCAGGTTTCAGCATCTTCAGAGCTGATTAATCAGAGAGCAGAATAATATATGTATAAATAACGCACAGTTTGGAAACAGAGTTAGAAGTCGCGACCTCACTCAGGCTTCATGCATGGACTTCACTATTTAAATACAATTGAAGTTTCTTCAGAATGCTGGAAGAAGCTCACGTTGGCCCGCGAGGGGAATGGATGTGCTCCTAAAAAGGAGCGTAATTGCAAAAATAGAAAATAAAAATAGAATTAAAAGAAAACCGTGTCCCTGCCTCAGGTTGAATGACGCGCCAGTGAAAGGCTACGAGGACGACGTGGGGAACAAGACCACCATGAGGTTCTTCTACCCAGAGTCGGCCTCCTTCAACCCGGGACAGCACAACGAGGCCGGCACGCTCATGGTCCTGGTGCCTTTCAAGCAGCAAGATCTCCGCTGGCTCAAAGAGATCCTCTATAACGAGAAGAGGGTACAGGATATGTGTGAGAATGCAATCTCTCACACACACACACACACACACACACACACACACACTTTCCACCTCAGCCTTTCTCACATAAACACTCCTCCTTTCAGCTTCTTTCCTCGGCCAGTCATCCATATCAGGAAAAAACACTTTAGAGGTTCGACTTCAGTGATGCCCGGGCCCTTCAGAGTTAAATGGAGTTTCCATCCTTCACGCCGAGGCTCCCGGAGCCTACGGGGCCCCTTTCTGTTAATAGTTTGCAGGGCTGTTACTTGTTATTTTGCACATCACATGTGTGAGTGTTGGATGCAACCGTGTGGCAGCTAAAGTTAAAGATTAGATCTTAAATTTCCCAACATCCTGGGTGTCATGCTTCTCTTTGGTTTGTGTGTGTGTGTGTGTGTGTGTGCTCCCCAGGTCAGGAAAGGATTTTGGAAGCCCCCTCCCCAAATCTGGTTGGGTGACACAAATAAAATCAGAGTGCTGGACCCTCACTTTCTGCATCAGACTGCAGACCGACTGCTCCGGATCCCCCTGCACCCGAATAGCAAACAGGTACCACCTCCACCCCCCCCCCCTCTGTTTAGGAGTCAGGAACACTGACGCCGGTTGCAAAGCTTTTCCTCTGTTGCAACTCATGAACAATGACCTTTTGCGTCACCCTCACAAGGATTTTCCCACTACATCCCTCTCCCCCTCTCTCGCTTCTTTATTCCCTTTTCCCGAAACCTCCCGTCTGTCCCCTTTTTGCCCTTCTGTGCTCCCCACATGAATGTTAACAAGGCTCCATGGAGCGTCCGCTAATTGTGCCGCAGTTCCTCCAATGATATCTCGTGAGCGCTGTGATAAACAGTTTACTGGAAGAGGCGCATTTCTGTTGAAATGTCGCCGGGTCAATAGCAATTTTGGGGAGTTCCAATTACCGCGAAACACGATGAAGATTATGCTTCTACTTTCTGGTGTCTCGTTGTGAGATAAGCCTGCGTGTCTTCTGGGCCGCGCAGCGACTCGCTCAGAAAATAATTGGCTGCTGAAGAGAAACCAGCATAAAGCTAAATATAAAAAGTCAAAGATATAGATAACGACTTAATGTCACTGTCACTTAGGAGCACGGACAGCAATACTGGGAATAAAGCGTGACATTTCTTAGCGGCGCACCAACGATCCGGGTTTGTTCCCCGAACTGAACTCCACTCTTTGGCCGAGGTGATTGGCTTTGTAAACATGTTCATCTGACCTGGAACGTTTCTAGCAGTCGCAGGCTGCTCGCCGCGTCCTGAAGTCTTGCGAGTTGATCTCGGGGAGGAAAATGTTGCTTTACGTCTTCTTATCGATGATATCGCAGTCAGACCCCCACTCCAGCCCCCCCCCCCCCGGCAGCAGCGCAGTGCAACTACCGTTTATTTTAAATTTAACTTGAACTTTGAAGGAGTGAACATTTGGACACACACACACACACACATAATGACAGCAGACCAACTTCTCTGCCCTGTGCTTTGGTCCTGTGTTGTTTGCATGGATCCAACTGCGGGAAAACGCAGAGATGTCATGGCCATTTAGTCTTTAGAAAGAGATGTGGCACGTTCATTAGTCAAGAGTCAAAGCTAACCGGCTGCTGGCCGTAGCTTCACAGCAAACCTTTTAATCCTCGTCTAAAGCCAAGAAATGTTCCCAAAGTGTCAAACTGTTCTTTGAAAAAGTTGAGGAGGAGGAGGAGGAGGAGGGGGAGGACGGGGAGGGTTGTGGGGGGGAGCACTGGCATGTGCAACAGAAATGTACTGGCTAGATGATAACACGGAAAGCTGCAGAGAGGGAAGATGTGAAAAGGCTGTTGGGGAAAAGCTTGCGCAGTTTAGGGGATGGAGGAAAGAGTAGAGTAGAGTAGCAAAGTAGAAGCCTGGCCGGGGCAACTCGACTCACTGACTCCTTACTTTAAAACATCTCCGTAGAGTCAGATGATTTCTATTAGACTTTCTATGTTCTGACAAAGGCAGATTTCTTTGTTTTTTTTTCACAGGGTGCAATGGGATTTGTGTATTAAATCTCTTTCGGCCGTCGTGTGTGGCTTCTGCCACTGCTGTCACAAAAAATACATGATAACACAAGTTACCACCAGTGCAACGAGCTGTCACATAATAAATAATATATAGATAATAATAGATCATCTACATTTATGAATGAGGAGAAAATCGGTATCCGTGGCTTTAAAGGCCCTTAAATCCGGTTTCATTGCATGCAGGCAGCCCACGAATGGATTCAATTGCTGTGATTTGTGCACTCAATATAATTTGTTTTGGTTAGAATCTAGAGTGCAGTTTTGTGAGATACTGTAATTATGTTCTATAAATTGTAGGAAAGGCCTGTAAAAGGTTCATTCAAGTAACCAAGATGACTTTCAGTGTTTGGGTCCCTTTTCATAGCGTTATTATATCGTCGTCAGGAAACGGAAGGGAGAGAGATCTTTGGAAACAACAAGCATCAAATGGGTCAAATCAACAGGTTATTCTTGTCATGTAGTGGATGTGTTTTGGTGTTATATGAGAGCCTTGTTTGTGTCTCTATCTTTTTATCTTCATTTTATGTTGTTTCAAATGGCTATTTATCCGTTCAGATACATTTATACTTTTTCTGTTGATATCCATTTATTCTGTCGGAGGACTTGAAAACAAAAGAATGTGTTTTTCTTCCTTCTCTTTTCTGATCCTCCCACATGAAACTGTCAGGAACAGTTATTACCCAAATATGTTAAGACATACAAGGAATTTCACTTGGCGATTAGTGAGCACATTGCCTCTGAGTTCCCGCTCAACTAAATAAAGAATATGTAATTCATATGTACTTTTAGTTGAAGGTGTGCCGCTCCAAAGTATTTTTGAGGGAAATAGGCGTCGACTGACATCAACAACATTGCTTATCTCGAGAAGAGTCTGTTGTGAGATAGTGAGTGTGCTGCTGGATAAGACCCAGTGTGCAGGGTGTGAGCTCATGTGAATAAACCACGTCTGGGAGTTTGTTTGGAGAGTGTGGACACAGGCGATGACTAAAATATTACTCACCTCGTGGCTGAGATAAAGATGCGAGACATTATGCGGATTGCCTTTGTTTTAAATAAAGTGAGACTACTTTAAATGGGTCAACCTGGCAAGTTTTATCCTGCAAATCCCCGAATGTTCCTTTCAAGTGCCGGGGCTTGTTTCAATAGAACATTGCGTAACGCTCCCATGGATTTTGGCGAATGCTTTTTTTTTTTTAAACTGAGAGAATAAGTGCAGTCATCCTCTGTCGCAACAAGAGCTCCACGTCGCCAACAAATGTCGGTCGAGGCTGAGGTCGTTTGCATTATTCAGAGGAAGCGTCCGACGCCCTCTGACTCCATCTAGTGGTGCGGATGTGCGGATTATTCTGTTTTAAACTTCCACTCAGGAGCAGCTTTCATTCTTCTTATTTACACATATTTCTTATTTCAAAACCATTTGTTAAGCAAAACTGTCAGTGAGCACATATTTTAGCACAAACAACTGTGGCTTTCGTTGTTATTTGTGTACTGTGTGTGCAGTTTTTGTGTTATTGTTTTTATAATAATTAATCCCTTTTGGGATCTTTTTTTTTTTCTACCCTCTCACGGTGCACTCATTACGTTTTCTGTTCTTATTTCTTTCAGCAGCCCGTGCATCCCACCACGGGTATCCTCGCTGTGTTTGTTGCCCTCAACTACTGCGATGTGGTCCACGTTGCTGGTTTTGGATACCCCAAAACAAACAGCCCAAGGCACCCTATCCATTACTACGGATTTGACACCATGAGGTCGATGAAGGTGGGTAGCGCAGGTCGCCTGCAGAGACCGCCCCCGCCTGCAGTCTCTGTTTCTGACACGCGGTGTTTATTTCTGTTGCAGAACTCTTACCACGACCTCGATCATGAAGCCCAAGCCTTAAGGCGACTGGAGAACTCTGGAGCTATTTTGTACCTGCACCCACATTTATGATGCACGCACTTTGTCAGTTGGACTCACACGACGCCAATTGATGAAATTTGAACTCGGTTCGGGTCATCCCATTCAAATTAGATGGTAAAGTGCCTTCCGCAGTGGGACACGTCGGCGGTGCGTTCAGTCGCCATGTGGCGGCCATGAGAGTCACGTCTCGGGGTCCGAAGGACGCCTCATATTGTTGAAAGACTTGCAGAGATGATTTAACGGCTCACCTCCAATGTGTCGGTAACCCTGGTAACACGGCTCATCATTCTGCGTAGTGTCTAATCTTTTGTCATGTCTATGGGTTTTGAATCATTACCATTAATGTGAGTTTGCAGGAGAAAAGGCCAGCGGCGTGACACACATTCGACAACCCAATGGTCTCGTTTGTCGTAAGTGACATATGAGTTTTTGATAATTGAATGCATAATAATCCAGCTTCAAAATTAATCTAATTAATTAGATTATTTGTTATTCAACCTGGTCTGATTGAATGCTTCACTGTCAATGTTCATTTTACATGAGATGAAGGGGAAATTAATTGATCACACAGCTGATTTGCACATGATTAGCTTTTCACTTTTAATTTCTTGGACTGGAAATACGACTTGTATTTTGCCAATATTTTTTGGTCACAATTGTTTCGGAGTTCTTATTTATTTAATTTTTATAGTTACCATTCCCTTTTTTTTTCTTTTCAAAAACAATATCTGTAAATCGTACCACAGGATATTTTTTATGTACAGAATGAAATCAATTTATAATTAAATATAAAAGGAAAAAGGAAATCCAAATTTGATTCTCATTTGATGTAGTTTCCCTTTCAGTGTCTTTTCAATTAATTTATGTTCCTTTGGGATCCTCGTGTTCATCAGACGCCTTCATGGGAATCACTTCACATGCCTAGATTGCCCCCAGGGGGGGGGGGGGGGGGGGGGGGGGCGCAGTGGCCTGCATGCACATTTACAATTACAACCTTTTAATATCACTGCACACCACCAGGTGGCAGAGAGATTCCATTGCCTGCACATTACAGAATATGGTGCAGGAGTGTCAATGTGCCTGCTGTAGTGGTCACAGCAACTCTAGCACCAGCACATGTTTTAGGGAACGCTCGTGCCCGATGGACATCTGGCAGACCAGAAAACTGCACGACGCTTATGATCGAGAATGACCAACATGCGGTCGCCACTAGCGACGGGTGTTAAGGATGACTTAACATCTGCACGGCCTTCTAGCAGTGTGGCTGTGAAGGGATTTGTCCCCGTGGCATTTAGAAACCAGGCTCACACGTACGGAGGAATTCCTGTGCTTGATCAGTAAAAGGAAATGTTTCTATCTACTTTTACTACTCCGACTACTGCTGCCACGACTCCCGCTGCGAGTGACATCAGCGCTAATAATAACTATAGTAAGCTCTTACTTATTCTAGCATATTCCTGAGGTTCTTTTCACTCAGCTACAAGGAGATGCTCTCATGACTTTGAGGTCGGACTGTAAGAAGGAGGGAAGACGGACGATCTGTCGCCGTGCAGGTGGGGTTTTACTTCGGTGTAGAGACGCTGCTGTTGTACATTGGCTCATGTGTTTTGCCTGCATGTTGCTGATAAGATGAGCAATCCTGTTTGCACCCACAGTCATACACCACCCGTGTGCTCCTAGAATTGTCCATTTACTTGTCGCTGGGAGACAAAATGAACCACCATAAAAGCAGATAAGCCTCAAATATTTCTACTACTGATGTACAATCACTTAAAGCATTACAGTGTTATAACCCTAGTTATACCACAGTCCTCTACTGGCCTCCTTTGTTAATACTCTCCTCCAATCACGAGCGTGCATTTGCCAACCGGAGATTTGAATAATATCAGCTGACCCTCAGGCAGCACACCCAGCTGATCACAGCCCCCCCCCACCTCCTTACGATGCAGGAACACGGTTACATCCCGCGTGCTGCACGTCGGAGGTAAAGCAGTGTTCCCCCGAGAGCCCAGTGGTGCAGCGAGTGAAGGCCACGTGTTCTTAACCGCCCATCCACGCACGTCCTCGAGGAACCAAATGAGCCTTTAATTAATCTGGAAGACCCCAACGCTAAGACCCGGAATGCATCGCTCGCAGTTTTTACAAAGCCGCGATTTCATAGAAAAATACGTGGCCCGTGATAATTGCCACGCCGCTGCGTAAGTGCAGCCTCATGCAGGCAGAAGCTCTGACAGTGTGATTGTTATTACAGTGCACATCACACTACACCATCTGCTCCGTGCGCGGTGCACTCAGCCGGCGGTGCAGCATCCCATTTCAAAGCAGTTGTATTCTACTTGGAAGTCATGATCATCTGATAAATCACTCGAGGATGTTGCATACTCTGCAATTGTGTGCCTAATACACGATTTCATTTTATTGCGTGGTGAAAAATGCAATAAAAGGGAAATCAAAACCCAGGGGAGTGTTGCACAAAGGGGATCAGGGGAGCCATCGCTGGTGTTTTTTTTTTACCTTGAGTCATTGATTTAATAGCAGGTACACAGCAACCTAGTGAAGATACCGAGGCCTCCTCTTTTTTTACATTTTTTTTATCAATGTTGGAGAAAAGGAAGGGACACAATGTGTCTCTACGATGTGTCTGTGCAAGGAGCCCGGCGGACCGTTTGTGTGGGAAGAGGCAGAAGAGGTACAGTACTGAGAGCAGCCAACTACCTAGAGAGAGGGCATCTGGCTCGGCTCACTGATAACTCCCCCACAGCCCGGAGAGCCGCAGTGAGTCAGGTGCTCGTGAAAACACAACACTGCCATGGGAACCGGGAGAATGAGTAGGAAATAAGAAGAGTGAGGGAGTGAGAAAAAAAAAAAAGATAAGCTGCTTTTCTCCTGCGAGTTTCGCTAGTTCTGCTTTTTGCTTCATAAACCTCTTTCCCTTTTGTCTCATGTGATAACTGCTCCGATGTGACGCTGAATAGGATTTACATCCGGTCCTCCCAGCAGCCGTGCAGCCTCCTTTTTCCTTTGACTGAAAATGAAAACGGTCAAAAAATAGCAACAGACAGATGCAGAAACTAAGTATATAAAAGAAAGAAAAGGAAAAAATAGCAACACTTTATGCTAAGCGGCTGCATGGATCTGTTGCACAGCCCCGAAAGGTCAGCCGACTCAGCCCATTTAAAGGCTAACACGGCATCGTTGTTTCCTCTCAGGCAGCCAAAGGAGCACTTTCTGTTAGCTCAGGGCTTTCGCTCTCTTTCGCCGTTCAGTACAATGACGCAAGTTTCTGTGGAGGAAATCGGACCTGTTTGGAGTGCAAACGGAGCCACAGCTTACAGCAAGAGCCCAAGAGCGATGTTTTAGGAAACAAATAGCATACATGAGTCTGAGGAGAAACTTTCTGAGCACCATCCGTGGCACAAGAGGTGTTGGAGGTCAGAGAACTGAGCTGATATCCTGACCGAATGACCTCAAGATGTAGTGCAGAATAAAACCCCCAACCCCCCACTTACCGTGCCAGACACGGACACTCTATTCGTAGACCAGCAGACACTGTCCTCCTTCTGTTGTACAATTCTTTTTTTAAAACTTCCTTGTGTCTGTCAGTCTGTCGTGTCTGTTTGACCTTGAGGTCCAGACGTCTGGAGGCGGCGGCGTTTAGTGTTATTCTACGACACATGACCTTGTATTTCATTTGACTTTGTGCCTCCGTGTTGCACGGGAGAGGTGGGTGTGTGCGTGCGGGGGGGTTCACGCCCACTAAAAGACAGAAAAAAGAGCTCACATATACGGCGTCAGGTGGAAAAACACACCAAAGAAACTGACTACTTTTGGATCATTGTAATTTGCTGCATGGGTGCAATATGTGATGCAGTTATATTGCACAGATGTCTCCCCGAGCAGAGAAAGAAGTCGCTGTTATCAGAGCTCTGGCCGGTAATGTCCTGATGTTAATACAGCAAGCTTTATCCATTTTATTATATAGTACACAGTACGTTAGTTTGCAACTTCTGAACAACCAAAAAACATAGAAAAGAAACAGAATACGCCAATATTTTATACGTTTTCTTTTTTTATTTCTTTGTTGTCAGTTCTTAATGTGGTCTGGAACACCTTGTACTTTTGAAATATACCTTAATAGATGAATACTTCCTCCCTGCGGTGCACAGACAGCCCTGTTAATATGAGCAAGGAGTCCAAGGCCAAGTGCAACTTTAAACTTCCGGAGTGCGTTTTGAGTTATTGAAGGACAGGCGCTGCCTCCTCCTCACCAAAGGAGATCAGAAAAAAGGGGATAAGGAGATAATGTTTCATTTGCACTCATTATGCAACCTCACCGCTCACCGAAGCTCAGAAAGCAGAAGAGCCGATTCACCTCATGTGTCCTTTTACCAGCGAGCGTCCTGTATTGTAAATTCACTCCATGTTGACATGCGACTGAGGTGGCAACACCAGCGGGGTGGCTACAACAGAGAAAACCCCTCATGTTGCTGGTTTTTTTAAACATTTTTTTTTTTAGGGCGTTTGTCCCTCAACAGAATTGTTTGCCCACATTTTGGAGCAGCATCACCCCCCTCGGCGTCCTGTTGACTGTAAACCCAGACGAGTGGTGACGGTACCTCGCTGTTATTGTTGCACACATAAATAAAAAGGCTACAAGCGCGCTCTTTTCCTGCCTCTATCTTCCCGTCTGAAACACATCCATTTGCTGCTTTGTTTAATTGAGCGGCACGTCACACTCTTGGCGGGTAATGTGCACTTACACAACGGTGTGTCGGCGCTTTTTTAAAAACCCAATGGACTTTTTTTAGGGAGCAAGCTGAAGCCTTTCGTACCTGTCGACCACCTCTCAACGAGGTAATGCCCACGCACGCCACCCAGGGGTCAATTCTCTCTCTCTCTCTCTCTCCCTCCGCCGGTCTGCCTGTGATGCAGAGCCTCCAGTATTGACCGTACACAACAACGTAAAAATACCGCTAGAAGTGGATGGTTTCATAATGCATGAAAAGGATTTTTATGATATTCCTGTGTGGGGCAAAGCAGTTCTCTCCTCGTCGCCGTCACCATAATGGGAGTGTGGATTTGGTCTTGCTTGTTTTGGTGTTTGACAGTGAAAATATTTTCTCTAGTTATCTTTTTGCGCTGAACAACCAAGATTTATTGCTGTCATAACAACCGCTGCCCCTATGTTTTCTTTTCCCGTGTTCCTGTCTTAAGTTCCGCCACGCGCACGCCGAGGACAAGACTCCCCACAACACTGCAGGCTCAGTGGGGACGACTGGCAGTGATGGACGACGCTGTCAATCAAAGCAGTGGAGCTCATCCACTTGTCACACTTGCTGATGTCGGTGAACTTAAACCTCCGTTGTGTTTTTCAGCTGCCGTTTGAAACCGGCGGCCACAATCGGCGTTTTGGTAGATTATGTAAAGCATTTCTCCATCGTGTTCGGAGTCAGAGGAAAGGGGACGGGAAGAATCCATATAATCCATATGAATTAATAGAAAGTGCAGCAGAGGAGGGACGGGCCCATGATTGGGTGACCTGATGGAAGACCCGGCTTCCTCAGCTTCGAGTTTTTATGTGTGTGAAAAGCAAGAAGCCAACAAGCAGCGGACCTTCTCATCATGAGGCAGCACATTGAACAGAACCCTGGGCTTCCATTGCTTCACACACGGGCCTCAAGGAGATCAGCAGTGAAGACGTTCTTTTGCACCGGGGTTGAAGTTTGTTCATTGCATAGAACGAGTTCTACGCTCACGCGTTTCTTTGTTGTGCCGCGCACACTTATTACATTATCTGCGGTTGCGT